TTTCTAAACCGTCTACCTCAATTTCATATTATAAACTAACAATTATAGGACGCCATCCCTCAATATCCCCACCCCCTAATCCTAAACCAGACTACCCTCATCTCTGAAGGATACAAATTACTTTTTTTTATTTGCATAAGTCTTTTGCTCTATGGGGCTAAATTGCACAGCAGTTTAAAATTTTGAATAGCACTCTTTAACGTATGAAGGTTCTGAAGAGTATCATTAAACTAAATGATTCTTGAATTGTAATTTAAATACCAGTGCAAAATATAAATACAAACAAAAGTTGGCCATAATGATACTCCTGATATCTTCCATGTTATTTTTTAAGTCATGAAATAACTTATATTTGTCATATTTATTATCGTGACATTGAGTCTAAATTTTCAAGGTCACGCGCGTAAGAATCTAGATTGAGAAAAGTCCAAACTAACCGATAATATTTAAACCTGGAGTATTATACTGACTGAAAATTGGAATGGTACAAATCGATGCTATCATGTCCCTATTTCTAGAAAACCATTTTATATTCCATACAAGTTTTCAATCAAAATTTGAATGAAGAAAATGGCTTACCTTCTTGTGAATAAGGGTCCAATATTTGCCACTCCTTCCAAAAGTATCATCGTTGAATCCATTATTTTATAGAAAAATCACAAAATAATCTAAATCCATCCAGAATGATACAGATAGTATCAAATAAATCCCAATCCACAGATATTAGTCAAAGATTTAGCACTGAATATATCGAAATAATTCAAAACCATCCAAAATCCAATATAGAATATATCATAAGTCATAAGTCACGACTAATATGATCGAAATCCCGCTCAGAAATGCGCACCCTTGGATATGCAAACGGTGATTTTACGTTAAACTCCTCCCACTTTTTTACTGACAAATTGAATTTCAGCCAATCAGCAGCCAAAATTCTGCATCCACGTGCTCTTCGTGTCAACTCTTCCCGCCAAAAAATTGTTATGACTTTCTGATGGTTTTAAGCTGTCACCTTCTCGTCAATTTGGTGAAAGTTGATAAATTATTAAAGGAAAAGATCCACCAATATTTCAGAATGGCTGGTTGAAATAATTTTGAATAGAGGTACTGGACTTAAAAATCCTTTGTAAAGTCTAAAACCTGTTCAAAAATCTTTGGATCAACGAATAAAGTATATTTCGTTAAGTTACCGGGGGAAAAAATTGCCAAATTCACATGTTTGTGAAGTAAATTACACGGAAGGGGACCTTTAATTCTTGACAGAACAAATAACATGATTGCTAGATTCGCGCCAAATATTACCCCGAAATTTAAAGGGATATAGCGTTACCGTTACAATAAAATTCACCATTATTCAAGTTTTAGGCCTAAATCAGACTACCCTCAATGAAGATAATTAGAAAATTTACTGAAAAGCTTTGACTTTGTGACTACATAAATGAGGCAATAAATTCTGGGACGAAAAAGTGCAAACGATAGAAATATGATTGCAATAGAACAGATTAAACCACAGTAAATTTAAAGATAGTGGATCAAATATGGCCATATTCGGTATACGGTTGGTGAAACGAGATCCTCATTGTTAGGGCCCAAGGCCTATTTGGAGGTTGGAAGGGGGGGGGGGGGGGTGTTTGCACGAAATTTTGCTACGATCGAGAAGAGTGGTACGAATAAGATGTTGGATAATGGTACATCGAGATCAAAGGGTGACGTCAAATTTTAAGTTATAATAACACTGCAAAATCAATTGATGTGATTTAATTATTAGTGGTCACTGACAAATAATCCATCATGACAATGGAATTGAGAGCAATATTAGAAGTTCTAGGAGGTTTTATTAGTTCCCATTATCAGGATTCCTTCCCCATTCCCCACTCCCCTACTCCACGGCTTTGGTAATTGTGTAGCTTGCCATTCAACAAGGGGCTTCTTACTACAGGCTCAGTATTAGGCCGTTAGCTTTTCATACAGCCATAGTCAGTTGGCTTAACTAAATGCCAAGGGAAGTCTCTGTGGTAGTGTAGACACTGGTTGCAACTTTAGCGAAAGCGAAATTGGAACAATTTGTGGAAAATAAAGACTTGAGTATTACTGTATTATCTTTTCAAAGCAAAAGACCGACATTTTAGGCCCAGACTTCAATTGAGGGCCCTGTGTTACCCCCGTTTTCAGAATGTATAGATTTCCCCTTGTCAATCAATTTCCCCCTGTTGATGGTGATAATAAACTACTTAATAATTAAATCATATCATTTGATTGTCAAAATTAGTAAAATGACCCTACACGAAATACAAAATTGTTTCGAATTATTCATTCGATCCAAATTTGTGCACGGCCTTTTACAGAATTGAGTCCCGTTTTATGTCTTTCTGACCCAATTCGGACATAGTATAAATTTCAAAAGGTTTCTATGACGGCTTGTGAGCCTCGCAAATTGTCCGTAAACTCTGAGTATTATTCTACTGTATAGGCCATAGGCACTATATATACGTCGATTAGTGTATGTCTTCAATGGGCCCCCGTACAAAAAGTAAGGGAGACAACAATTTGGTGATTTGATATTTCGAATAATGACAAGTGTGAGATAGTATGGTGAGAATTTCAAAAAGTTCCTATGACGGCTAAGCCTTTTAATTTGCTGTTAAACTTTGGTAATTTTCAGCTTCCATAAAAAAAAATTATATGTTAAATGGGCCAAAGTACAAAGACTAAGAGAGTTAGACATATAGGTGTTTGCGAAATTGAAAGAATTCTTATGTGTATTTGTCATTAAAAAAATTTAAGTTAGAAATAATTCAGATTTCATATCGGGTCGATTTGCCGCGAATGTGTATGCTGAGACGATTCGACCCGATTCGACCCGAATCTGTATGCTGTTGAATGTGTACGCTAAGTTCAGTCCTTCCGATTTCCCGCTTGTTATAAATTGAAAGTTTGTTTATGTTTTGAGAATGAACGTTGAAAATGCCAGATTTGATCGATAATCCATCTTCTTCTAACAATTTCACCATGAGTTTTAGCTCAGATGATGAGGAATCTTCAAAACGGTCATTATCTAACCAAAATGTTTCACTTTCAGAGTTGAAGGTTTGTAGCAAATGTTTCTTTCTGGCATTGACACTGAGTGATTGACGAAAAACAGTACAGTTTTGCAATTGCATGGCCATGGTTCAATGGATAATCACCAAATAGATGAGTTTCACCTCCTATTTTTCTGCATTTTAACCGGATTGTGTCAATGGAGAGAGGCAATGCAATGCAGTGTACATTGAGGGAACTGTTTAAATTAATTTAATTATCCCCCCTTCAATATGCTCAGAGATATTTTGTGAGGCTCTAGGGTTGTGTTTTGCTGACCAATTCTATGTTATTGTATTTAAGGCTCTAGATAATTTACTAAGATGTCCGTCATGTTATGATTATATAAGAACAGCTATGATTCTACCAAACTGTCACCATAATTGTAAGTAATCTAATTTCGGTATTTGTAAGAGGTGGAAATTCTTGGTCTGCTGATTCCATTTTTTATAGTAGAGAGACCTGTTAGCTTATCTTGTTGACAAAAGACACCAAATTATATGTCTTTAATAAGCAAGATCAACTAGATTATGGATTATCCATACTCATTTCAGATTGATGGCCTTAAATGATAATGTATGATGACTTATTCAAAGTCACTAGACTTTCACAGGGCAGCAGAGATCAGAAACCATGAAAATAATTACCAGCTATCAAATATAACAGAATAAAAAGACATTTTTTTTATTTCAGTCTGTTCCCTGTGTATAAGAAAATATTTTTGTTATAAAACTCAGTGCCCTGCGTGTTCTGCTGTAAGTTTTAGATTATTATACAAAAGTCATCAACGCTATTGCCTAAATGAAACCTTTGGTTTTATATTATATCTTAAATATGCAAGTTGTTTGAAGATCGCATATTGGAAACTCAAAGTAACAACATGATTCAAGTTCTGTATTAATATTTATGATTGTTATTATTGTACAAATGAAGAACTGGTATATGATTGTTTTTGCAGCAAGCTAGTGGACCAGAGTTAAGAAATAACCGAATATTAGACAATGTTATAGAACAGTACAAAAAAATCAAGTGAGTAACTATGTTAATAAAGTTAAATAGTAGATTCTAGAGTCAGACCACACACCCGTAATTTAAATATCAACTTCAAAATAATGACTGAGACTCTGCAGATATCAGCACACACTAAGACAGCTTCTCTGAGATCATTAACCCTTTCAAGAAGAGCAGTCTAACGCCTTTTTCAGCCTTCATACCCCTGGAGCAATCACATGGACCTTTCACACCCCCAAAAATTTGATTCATCCACATTTTTAGCATGTGTTGATGTGAGGTGCTCTCTCAATTCAAAATAAATTCTTCTCCTACACCAGTTGGCCACACCCCTGATACCCTAGTCCCAAACCCCCAGGGGGTTGGGAACTGGGAGTCTAAAGGTTACCAAATTATGTGATTTTACTTGGAGCTCAGGGTATATGACATTTTAGTTTATTTACACTCGGTTTTCAAAGGGTTAGGATTTGACTTGGATGATTTCAGAAAGCCATTAAAGAAGATATGGAAAGAGAAAGAGAATATATCCAGTCCTAAAGATGTCTGTTTACAGGAAGGCAGTAAATCAACAGTTGTAGCTGCTGTTAATAGTTCTTTAACTAATCATATTTCTAAAGTAAGGTCCATAATCGAATCTAAGGAAATTGTCCTATGACTTCTTCCTGTTTGGCTGAATTGAAAAAGGGATGGTAAAGAACTCACAGTTTCAAAATGGGATATCAGAATGGTGTAAAATAAGCTATGAATGTACTTGATACTCACAGCCATAAAAAGACTTTACCACTTTACAATCCCTTTTATATTTGTTGTAAATGCTGTATTGGTAACCTCTGGAATGTAGTGAATTTACAGTTTAGTTAAAGTATCGAATGCAGCATAACATCATTCAAGGGATATAGTCTTCTAAATGTATATTGTTATCAGCTGATGAAGCTCAATTTAAGCTGTCTGTAGCTCTTTTCAAAATAGAAATCTGATTCCAGTTCTGCTTTAATCGAACAAAGATGGAAGTTTACATTGCTGTCATGTGATGCTAATTACAAAATTAAAACAAAAATGTATAATAACCAATGGAATTGCTTTAAATTTTCAGAATTTATTAATAGCAGACGTGGATTCAGACATTGAAATTTGGGAAGAAGAAACCAAGAAAGTAGCCACAAAATTCACGGATTATGACTCCGATATGGATTTTTGTGCAGAAAATATAAGAAAGGGGCCAGTAGAATCTTGTAATGGCTCCAAGGAGAAGTTTGATAAAATATTTCCAAGTTCAAGCGATTACAAGACGTCAAAACGAACTGAGAAGACAGAAAAGACTGAATTTACTAAGTTAAAAGATGACTCCATGTTGACGCCATTACAAGATAGCTGTCTACCAAGCTGTAGTACACCAGTTAGTTCTCAAGATACATCCAGCATAGACAAAGGTTAGATAGACAGAGTTATGGTTGCATGAATTTTTGAAAGAATTTAGTTTATTTCTTATACAAAGATGATAACATAGGTTCATGAGGATCCTTTCTACTAGCTTGCCTTGGTCAAACTTCTTGGTATTGATCTTTTCTGGATTATCCGTACCCATTTACAACTGGGTTGACTGGATAAATGAGGAAAGATGACTAATTCAAGATCACCAGATCTTCACATGCTGACTGAAATAAGAACCAACAACCACCGTTTGTTAGATGTAGCCATGCAAACGAAGTCATTCCAAAGCTCTAACAGAATATACTACAAGCCTTCCTCAAATAACTGCTTAAGATAGAACAATCTTTCAAGTCTTTCTTCATTTTTAGCTTTGGATTTATTGATGAGAGTTCATCCTTTAAACTTGAAATAAATTCTATATTTTTTAGTTGATTGTCCTGTTTGTGGTGTGTTAGTACGTCAACAGTTAATCAACAAACATCTTGATAATTGTCTTCATAAAACAGAAAAAATAGAAAGTTTAAGAAGGTAAGTTTAAAAGTTTAAGCGACAAGAAATTTGTCCTGAATCTAGATGTTGGCTAATGCCACTGTCCTGTTAAAACATCCCTCATTGCACACTGCATGGTGTAGGTTGCTAATGTTAAAGGTCCTTCACCAATAGAAAATCGAAAAGTAGCATAAACCAACTGTTCTTTTAAAATTTCCCTCATTGCAAACTGCATGGCCTAGACTGCGGAAGAAGCAAATCAAAAAGAGTATTCTAAGGCATTGTCCTGAAAAAATTTCACTCATTGCACACTGCATGGAATAGGCTGAGTATGCTCCAACTCCCTCGACAGGTGAATATTTAGTGGCTGGTAATTTTTTTATTCAATTATATGAACGAGTGGAAGATTTGCCTTTGTGTCTACATTAGGCAATATTAAAAGAGCAAAAAGTTGAATTCAAACTTTATATTTAAAGTAGTAGTAAGAAGAAACCATTAACTAAACTAGTTTATCATCTGATGTCTGATAAAGATATTAAAAACAGATTAAAAGAGTTAGGATTATCTACAGACGGAGATAGAAAGGTTCAGTAAAATTTGTTTTTATTTTGATTTCTCTGTCATCATTGTTTTCAAAACCTCCCCCTTATTTATCAATGTATAAATGGAATTATGGTTCCCTTTATCTAAATAGCTAGCACGACAAATCTGGTCTTACCTCTTCCTTGGACGTGATATACAGATGTGATGTACTGGTGTGATGTATGTATGTGATATACAGATGTGATGTACTGGTGTGATATATCTATGTGATATACAGATATGGTATACAGGCGTGATACACAGATGTGATATACAGATGTGATATACCGACGTGATTTATACATGTGATATACCGACGTGATATACAGATGTGATATACAGATGTGATATACAGACATGATTTATACATGTGATATACCGACGTGATATACAGATGTGATATACAGACGTGATATACAGATGTGATATACCGACGTGATATACAGATGTGACTATAAGATGGTAAGATGGTAGAAAAATATCGTATTGTTTCTGAGATGTTGCCTTGTGTTTCTTTTACCATTATTCATATTTCTTATTTAAGGTGTTGATTAAAAGACATCAAGATTTTAGTTTACTACATAATTCTGATTGTGATTCTTTACATCCTAAAGCAAGTAAGTTAACATTTCAACTCAGATTAATTAGGGCCTTCATTATGTAGAATATTCTCGTTAACTTTTTTTCTCCTATTGCCTTTAGTCCAATCAAGGAAGGACAGAAAGGCATTTAGTTGCTCTAAGTCTAATGGAGCAGGTAGTGACAGTGAATGGGAAGAAGATTGGACTTTCTCTCATTGCACACTGCATGGCAACGTCTGTATTAGCCTAATCAGGTACAGAATATATTAAGCATGAATTTTTTATAATTAATTCTATACAGCTCCAGAATTGGTGAGATATTTTGAAAAGAATGAAAGAATACAAAGGAAACTGTCTGATTCTTCTAAACAAAAGGTAACTTTTATATTTATCAGTTCTTAAAAAAGCAAGGATTTGACAAGGAAAACAACTTAGTCTTTTATAGACCTCATTAGTCAGCTGGTCAATGGCCCAAATTTTTATGCATATTGATTACCAATTTTACAGCTGGATCAACTGATATAATGATGATATTTTTGCCAAGAACACCTGGTTTCACTCCACAATTGTGATAATCATCTCAGTTCTATAACCATTGTATTGTAGGGGTTGAAAATTAGTAAAAATGCTGATCAAGATGAAATAAGACAAGCTCAAAAATATTATGGTAAGCAATACTTACTTATAATACGAATAAGAAAACACATACCACAAAAACAATATTAAGCATGTGGACTCTCTGGAAAAAGATCCTAAGTTAGTTATTTTCATTTGTATATGAAGGTCCATTTTGATCTCACAAGAGTGTATAACTCAGTTCAGCATGTAACCCTTGATCAAGTAATTCATTTCAGAGTAATAACCAATAATGAATCATATACACACTAACAAGTTAATGAGTGTGAACTCTCCAAATTTGATGAAGAGTTGACCATTGTTCCAGTTTTTGTGAATGTCTAATGTTTTTTGCAATTGTATGTGGACTCATTGTTTGATTTTGATTCTGATAAATACTGTGATAGGAAAGTACCAGCTAGTATTTTGATTTGATATTGTATATTTTAGAGAAACAGCACAAGAGTCAATTTAAAGCTTTGATAGAACAAGCCAGAAACAAAGCCAAATCAAATGGTGGTAATGGTGTAGCCAGAAAAACTAATCAAGCTTCTGAAAACTCTGAAGAAGAATCTCAAGAGTCCACAACTGACAGAAGCAAACAGTCTGAGACTTTGGCGCAAGTTATCAGGCAAACAGTGGATGATATTGGTCGACTTGTGTCCAATTCCAGTCAGGAATCCTTTGACCTATTTCCTGATAGTGATTTTAAGAAACCTGTTGAAGAAGAACCACCAACACCTAATGGAGAAGCGGGTACCTCATCCAAAGATTTGAATTCCAATAACTCTGAAGATAGCTCAGACATGGATGAAGCCTGCAATGTTAAGACACCTTGCAGAAAGTCACTTTTTGAGTCAAAATCAAAGAACGGTGACGCCTCACCGATTCCACAGTCGCCTGTAATTGGGAACAACATGTTTCTGTCACCGCGAAGATCTAAGTTATCTACGGTCGGAGGTACCCTGTATGTAGATGATAGTGGATCAGAAATGGGGGATTCCACACCATCAAAGGACAAGAGTTGTATAGGTAGGTCTTCCAACTGGCTGTCTTGAGAGGGACTGCATGCTTGTCAAATATATGTATATGGATGGAATGGAGTTTTACACCCTACTTTTCTGTTTCCAATTGGTCTAATGAACTGAAACAATGAATCTTCAGCGTGTAATAATCTTGGGCAGCGTTAAAAAAAAATCTTACAATAAGAAATGAATGGAGTTTTCCATCCAACTTTTCTGCACCATGTGGGCTAATGAAGACGGGCAACGCCATGCAGGGAGCGATGAGAGAAATCTTGTCAGGACAGCATTAGCCATCTCTTTTTCGATTTCCAACTGTCAAGGGATCATTAACATGCACAGCCTGTAGCACACCGGCCTCGGTTTATTGTCCCATCCGAAAGACTAGATGTTTTTTCCATGTGATGGAGGTGACTGAGGTCCAGTGTGCTACAGATAGTCCACATTGTTAATATAGTTTTTATTACAGAAAATTCAGTGAATACCACTGGAAGTTCAGAATTATGGCCTGCATTATCATTGACAACAACTCACCACGCAGAGAATGGTGACATTAATGGTGATATCAATGGTGACATTAATGGTGATATCAATGGTGACATTGATGATATCAATGGTGATATCAATGATGATAGTGATGGTGATACCAGTGATATAATACCAGTTTGTGAACTAGAGGTATGTAATATAGACTCACATTCTTTAAAGCAGGAAGATTAGATGGAGGGGAGCTTGACTTGGTCTTTGTTAGGGTTTGGACAAGCTACCCCACATAGAAGTCTTTCTGCTTACATTACACTTTGTAGTTCAGCTAGTACATAAATTCATGTCCACGTTAAATACGGTATATAGCTACCCTAATAAATAGCAAAATTCTCTTTTTTTCAGCCACCATCTATGGACAGTATAATAAGACCTACAAGATTGAGTCTACAGTTGAGGTAAGTAGGACTGGGAAGAATAATCGATTATCGTCGCTTCAAATTTATAATTTCGATTATCAAATTTTATAATTGATTATATGTCATAGTTACATTTTCACCAATCTCTCCCCTTTAACAAGAAGTAATATCTTAACCACAATAAACTATGATAAAGTCTTTCAATGGCATTTAGCAATTGTGACTAAACACATTTAAACATTGCATTAAACTTTAACCAGTGATTGTTGTGTCTCTATTAATAAATTATAATAACTGATCAAAACAAGATTATACTTTTATGACACAAAAATTACCCATGAAATTAAGAATTTTGTCATGTTTTTAATTTAGTATTTACAGGGTTTCTCAATTGAAATGTTTTGATTATTGATCAATAGTCTTTATTTGATTTTCTTCATTCAGCCCAAAATTTCCCTGATTAAGCACTGCATGGTCTAGATAAGGAGAAAACCTTCTTTATTTCAGAGAATCCAATAGCATAAGAAAGAGTGAGAGACAGAAACGGAAAGCTGATAATGATGATGTAGATAGAAGACCTTCTAAAAAACACAAACATTGATAACAATCTTACTAACTCATTGTTTTTATTTATATTTAAAGAGATTGTAAAAAGGTTTTCTAAATTTTGTATGCATATCAGGAACACTGATAGCATCAATTTGCACCATTCCAATTGACAAACAGATGTCTGTGGCTCCTGCAATTCTACTAAAACTAAGTGTTTGTTGATGTCACTAATTACGAAGGGCCTTGTGTGATACAGCATATTTTGTGATTAACATTAGTGGCACCATCAAATACTTAGTTTTAGTGGAATTGCAGAACACACAGACGTCTGATTGAAAATTGGAATTGCGCAAGTTGATGCTATCAGTGTCCCTGATACACATAAGAAATTAAAAAAACCTTTTTACAATCCCTTCAATAGGTTTTATACAGAAATTGCATGATATATTTTAAGGGTTCTACAATTTAGTGAAAACTATTTTATCATCTGAATATAATGAAACTGTAACCCCTATTTCCCTGATGCTATTGTTTTTTCTGTACAAAGTTGAATATTTGATCATTTATTTTGTAATATTTTATGAAATCTGATGAAATAACCTTAAATGTCTTCAAATAAAAATTATTTATGTTACTTTTTTTTTTAATTGTGATGAGGTCCTTCAAAACTGCGAAAAAAAAACTCTATGGCTGGTAAAAGATCAGACAACATTGCCTAAAGGAATGTAAAGAGGTTTTCTAAACCCTTTATGTGTATCAGGGACACTAATAGCATGGATTTTCACCATTCCTATTTTCAATCAGACGGTCTATGGTTCCTGCAATTCCACTAAAACAAAGTGTTTTTATACATCACTATCTCAAAGTCCTTAAGATATTATTAAGAGCTTTTGTGATAGAAACGTCATCAAGAACTTAGTTTTAGCGGAATTGCAGGAACCACAGACGTCTGATTGAAAATTGGAATGGTGCAGATGAATGCTATAAGTGTCCCCGATATACATAAAAAGTTTAGAAAACCTCTTTACCTTCTTTAAGGAACCATAACGTTGTTATACCTTATAGGTAACAAACAGGACATTGACTGAACATGCAGACATTGTTAATACTTTTGTATACATGACAAATGAAATATAGAAAAGATTCAAAGAATATGTTTATTAACACATAATAATATAGCAAATTTATACAATTTATTAAACACTATATATACAGATAACTACAATATTCTAGCACTAACAGATGGCAATTTACAGTCGACCCAGTGTTGCAGGCAATTCAAAGGTTAAACAAACTGACAAGCCTATTCAAGAGTCAAATGAGCTAGCACTCTCTATTCAGAGTCAAATGAGCTAGCATTATCTATTCGAGAGTCAAATACGCTCACCCCATATTCAAGAGTCAAATGAGCTAGCATTATCTATTCGAGAGTCAAATGAGCTAGCACTCTCTATTCGAGAGTCAAATGAGCTAGCATTATCTATTCGGGAGTCAAATGAGCTAGCACTCTCTATTCAGAGTCAAATGAGCTACTCTCTATTCAGAGTCAAATGAGCTAGCACTCTCTATTCAGAGTCAAATGAGCTAGCACTCTCTATTCAGAGTCAAATGAGCTAGCACTCTCTATTCTAAATCAATGTAAAATCATGTACACGTATCAAGATAAGATAAGAAACTGACTCAAAAGCCTTTTTTTAATCAGGAAATAGCAAGTATGACTCGTTTCTTTAAACCCCTAAAGACTGTTGTTGAGGAAGAGAAGATGAAGAAGAAGAAGAATAAAGATTAGGTGAAGAATTATTTAAAGAATAATACGAACTCATTTGAGAATAATAAGGATAATTGTTATATAAATTATTATAATTATTGTTTTGATAGTTACTATAGTTACAAGGTTGTTGTTGTTGTTGGTAACTTGTTGTTGTGGTAACATCATTTAATAAATGTGACATCAGGAGATGATTCTGGGTGGAGTAAGATGGCTGACTTGATGTTGTGTTGTTGTTGCTGTTGTAAGTTGATGCTGTAGTTCCAGGATAGTACAGAGTCTCTGGCATGTAGTGAAGACTGAAAATAGAACATGAAACATTATATGGAGTTTTAGTTCCTAATAGGACTGATCAAACATCTTGCAGTGTGCACTGAAGGAAATTGTGACAGGTGAGCGACAAAACAAGATTTGGTCCTACCAATACAACGGGACGCATGTTCTAAGTCGCGCTGACCAACAGCTCAAAGATTTCATGACTGACTTTAGGCTACTTACTTGGATCTCGGATGAGGTTTAACAGGTGGTGAGTTAGAAGGTGAAGCATTCTCTACTGGTGGTGATAAAACATGACATGATCTATCAGGTGATGTTGATTGACAGGTTGGTTGACAGGTTGGTTGACTGATTGATTGACAGGTTGGTTGACTGATTGATTGACAAGTAGTAGATGATGTAGCATGAGATGCTGGAGAATGAATCATATCCATGGGATTTGGTCTTGGTGAACCCTGATTGAAGATCTGTTTTCTCATCCACGCCATGTGGCCATCTTTGGACTGACGTTTAAATTTTGACCGTCGATTTTGGAACCAAATCTGAAAAAAGAATATGGTCATGATTCAGCTTTGGGTAAAAACGCAACACGGAGCTTTACACACAGGTGTAATGGTCAAAGGCCTGTTGGGGAAGGGGGTTGGTCTGCCGACATTTTCCCACGAATTTTGCTTGTTGTTTTTGGGTTGTTGACCAATATTTTTCGGCCTATTTTCTTTCAAAACTTAATTATTTTTAGAGCATCACCCGAAAACGCTACTTTTTAGGTCGATGTCCGAAAAGACGGACTATGGCATCCCGAACCTTCATGTTGGTTAGCAAACATCTAGCGCACTAATCCACCGTGGCTCATCTGGTCATATTGGAAGAAGCATTCCAGAAGAGTAGATAATTTACTTACTTGGATTCTTTCCACGGTGACCCCTAAAGATTTACAAAGATCTTCTAAACATAATGAGTCGGGATACTGTGATACCATAAATAAACTCTCTAAAGCATTTAACTAAAAAAAGACGATTGATTGTAGAAATAAATGTTCGACAAAATAAAATACACGCACTGTTAATCTTTTGCTGTTGATTTTACGAGGAAAGCACTGGCAGCTAAATTGCCAAACTTGCAGGTAACAAGGTTAAGAAAATCTACAGAACAATCCGCAACTATGATGCAACTTTGTAATTTGTTTTGTCAATTCAGCATCTCGTCTGAAGAGTTCGCAGATTAGTTGTCGAGTATGTGTTTTGGTCGAGTCGGCGACAACCCTGACCTTCTACCGACAAAGTTCGGGATTTAGCTGGATGGAACTCGGAACCCAAGTTATACCATGGTTTAAAACATTATAGCTTACCTGAGCTGCCGTGTATTTAGTTCTGTTTCTAGGTTGTATTCCACCTCGTTTCTTTGGTTTTTGTTCAGGACTGGTTTTAGTGACTTGCTTCATGGTGATTCTTCTGAAAGCAAAATCATCAGATTAACCATCAAAATTATCAAAACAAATGAATACGAATGCATTACTCTGGGGTTTCATGATGGATTTGCTAAGATCGTCATCTTTTCAATTAACTTAAGTCAAGCAGTGATCACAGGAAAAGACCTGAAAATGGTGAGAGTCTCGCCAATTGCACATTGTGTATATCCTATGCCTTGATTAAATTCGCTATGTGATATATACAATATTAATACCATCACATGTATTTGGGGTGTCAGTGATGAAATTTTGTATCAAATTGAGTTTGAAGTTTCATTCAAGAAATAGCTCACCTTATTTTTGATCTTTTCCTGAAATAGACGATATTTTCCTTCTAGATAGAGCTTAATAGATCCCAAGGAGTTAGAAGTTTCGCTCAGAATTGAAATTTGATAATGGCTAACTATCGGTAAAAAAAATCTTTATATATACCTTCAAAAAGGGAATCCAAACGTCAGTAGAACAATTCGGACAGAAACCAATGGAAAACATCGGCAAGATACAATCCAATCAGTTTTTAACCCCGCTAAGATTGGTTATGTGCAGTATCTAGTTTGCCGTTGCCGATCATTGGCCATACACTGGCGGTCACCATCAAAGACCTACGTTCAGATTGAAGAAGCCAAACATAGATCAAACGGTTTTTTGTTGTTATAGGAATAATACACCTGAAATGATTGTCTAAACATTGTCCTTGTGATTTTCAACAATGGAAAGTATCAGAAATTTAAATGTTGTTTACTTTGATTTATTTGGGCTACTTATGCAAACAACAATAATTTTTTTAGCGAGGGGGGGGGGGGGGGGGGGGGGACAGTATAGGTTATTATACACGGATAATTTAATCACAGATGATAATGATGTAGGCAATGGGGGAAATTCTACAAAGGATAGTTCCATAAGCCTACTCTTTTTCGATTTTGATTCGGAAAAAAATATTTGATAGCCTACTTTTAATTATTTTTGAAAGACAAAATTCAAATTTCATTATGCATATATATGCAGATGGGTTTGAACACAAAACGTGAGACGTAAAACTCCATTCATTTGGATCCAGAACTACGGCATCGTTCAACACAATCTCTCTAGTTGCGCCTATCATGGAGCCATTGATATACAGATTGTCGGATACCATCAAAGACCTTTTTCAGATTGGGGTAGCAAATGGCCGGTGTGTTGTTTTAAGAATCAAGCCACATGAAATGATTGTCAAAACATTGTCCTGGATATTCGAGACAATAGACATCAATAATTAACATCAGGGTGTTTGTCTTTTTAATTGTTATTCTTAATTAATCAAACTTTCATTTCGCACCATCGCTAAATACATATCTTTAAATTTGTTGGTCGGGTATCCGAATAATATTCGCCAAATCATTTTGCTTAGAAAACGGAATTCAAAAATGGAAATGGAAAAACCTAATACCCGCTACCACACACCGACCGAGGTTTTAAATCGCCATCCCTTTCAACTAGCTTTTATGTGGTATATCTGCGAGTTAAATTCAGTTTACATTGAATTATAGTTTTTTGAAAAGGGGGGTGGGTGGGGGGTGGCATCTTAAACCTACGAATCTGTTTAAAATAATGTGTTGTTGTTGTTACATGCAATCGCATTTTTGCCGCATTAGAAAACACAGAACGCAGCGAACGCAGAACGCAGAGAACGCAGAGAACGCAGAGAACGCAGGACATTTCAATTAAAAAACAAAAGAGTTTATTTCTAGCATGTAATTAGTGCAATCAAATGTTTACACAACAATATTCAGTAAAAAACAAAACAGTATAAGACACAGTTGATTGGATATAATCAAAACTGTTTCCGAAGCTAAGAAAACATCGTACATGGCGGTGGGCCTTGCTTTAATCTTGAAGGGCAACGGCCATGTTTTTACTGCTAAAAGCCTTGAAGTTCTTCGTATTCGCTACCTAAAAAGGTTTCATTATGGACGCTGAAATCATGTACCGTATCTTCGTCAGTTCATATATAAAGATGGGCAATTCTAGAATAACATATCACTTCTGATTCAACAAACATTAAAGACACATCTTCCCTTGGACCATAAGAGCAGTTGAATTCAGTATTATCACTAGCGGTCCTTTTAGGTAAGTGATCTTGTATTTGAAACTGCTTTCGTGGTGGAATATTTATAAAGACTAAGAAAAAGGAACGCTGCATTAACCCAATATCATTGCCCGGGAAAGTATCGGTCATTTTGAGCCTAAGCATGCGAATCTTGGCAGTGTCTATAACCAGTTCCAACTCAATATTGACGTTTTATATCATTGCAATTTTTTTTTTGACAGATTTAACCATGAAAGTGAAGACCAGTCTAGAAGAAAAACCAAAGAAACGAGGTGGAATACAGCCAAGAAACAGAACTAAATACACGGCAGCTCAGGTGAGATAATTCGCGCCCCCCCCCCCCCTCCCCCTCTCGGACGTAAATCTGACTCCGCCACTGCCTCTCGCCAATTATTCAAGTCCATTATGAAATTTAAATATGATTTATTTGTTATTATAGTTGAATACAATGGAAAGTTTGTTTCTGGTTTCTCAATATCCCGACTCACAAGCTCTTGAAGAACTGGCAAAATCTTTAGCTGTCACTGTGGAAAGAATATCGGTAGGTTTATATGATCACCTTTCCAATATCTGGCATAAATATCGCTCGGTGACAGATATGGGGCTTGCTTACCAAGCGAATGTTTTTCAAAGTGTCGGTTCTGGTTGTGATGCAGGTCGGAGTGGCTAGAGAATGTTCTCATTAAAGATACTCCGGCAATTCATTACAATATTCCCTTTTTCAGATCTGGTTCCAAAATCGCCGATCAAAGTTTAAACGTCAGTCCAAAGATGTCCATATGGCGTGGATGAGAAAACAGATCTTCAATCAGGGTTCGCCTAGACCAAATCCCATGGATATGATTCTTTCTCCAGCATCTAATGCTACATCATCTACTACCTGTCAATCAATCAGTCAACCAACCTGTCAATCAATCAGTCAACCAACCTGTCAATCAATCAGTCAATCAACATCACCAGATAGATCATGTCATGTTTTATCACCACCAGTAGAGAATGCTTCACCTTCTAACTCACCACCTGTTAAACCTCATCCGAGATCCAAGTAAGTAGCCTAAAGTCAGTCATGAAATCTTTGAGCTGTTGGTCAGCGCGACTTAGAACATGCGTCCTGTTGTATTGGTAGGAGCAAATCTTGTTTTGTCGCCCACCTGTCACAATTTCCTTCAGTGCACACTGCAAGATGTTTGATCAGTCTTATTAGGAACTAAAACTCCATATAATTTGTTTCATGTTCTATTTTCAGTCTTCACTACATGCCAGAGACTCTGTACTATCCTGGAACTACAGCATCAACTTACAACAGCAACAACACAACATCAAGTCAGCCATCTTACTCCACCCAGAATCATCTCCTGATGTCACATTTATTAAATGATGTTACCACAACAACAAGTTACCAACAACAACAACAATCTTGTAACTATAGTAACTATCAAAACAATAATTATAATAATTTATATAACAATTATCCTTATTATTCTCAAATGAGTTCGTATTATTCTTTAAATAATTCTTCACCTAATCTTTATTCTTCTTCTTCTTCTTCTCTTCCTCAACAACAGTCTTTAGGATTTTAAACAGTGAGAATTCATTGCCAAATCCCAATTTTTTGAGCAACCAGGTGACCCTATATCTGACCTGATAGTTGTCATCGACGAAGGTCTATCCTCGCTTTGGAGAAACACCTCATTTTTACCCCCAACCCCCCATTTTCTAGATACGCCCCTGCTTTGTATCTCCAACTATGTAAATATAATTTAAATAGTATTGTAAATTGTATTGTAAATTGTATTGTATATTCTCATCAAAATGTGCTACTTTCACTAAATGTAAATAAGAATTGTTAATAATGTTATGTAAATGATTTTGTATATTATGTAAATAATGTAGTTTATAATGTAAATAATGCGGTACGTCATGTAAAAAATGTTATACATGATTTTGTATACTATGTAAATATTATTGTGTATGATGTAAATAATGTTGTAAATAAATAACAGTCCAAGCTTTCCTTGGTTATATCTAAATCTTGACTCCATGAACCACTATCAAGTGAACAAGTGACCTTCCCTCTGGCCTTTGCTACAGCAGGACATGCCTCTTTTCCCCTCAAGGCTAAACACCCTATTGTCAATTCAACTGATTAGAATATGCCACTTTTGAATGGGATTCTTGAACTAAGTTCTTATCAACTGTTGAGACTAGAATCCTATATTTAAAATGATTGAATTAAATCAACTGAGATATACGAAATCATTTTATTAATAATATTTACAATGAATAGATGAATGATGAATGACAATTCTAAAGTTAGATGTTAAACCTTTCAAATCTCCCCCTTGAAAGAACAAAACTTTTGTAACCACCCTCACAATTAGACAAATCCCAAAAGAAAATAGCTCCTAGTTCTTCATGAGGCAACACCATTTGCCCTTAGCTTTATGTCAATTTCCTTCACTCAACTAACTATCTGGAGTATCCATTTGTTTGTTGGCTCTTAGAACAGCTCCAGGACTAGGATACGGTCTCTGTTGAAATAATGGACCAGCTGCTGTAGCATCCACACCAGTTTTAGCAGAGCCTCGTTGATCTAAACCACTGCTCCATGTACCTCTGTAATCAAATGTAAAGATAGTTAGTAGATGAGACACATGAATATGATCATAAATAATTAATATTTTGAGTACTACTTTTCACTGCAATGCTTCCATGTTAGTTCCTCATTTTGCAATCGACATTTGAGGCCATACAAATTTTGTGGTACAGGGAGAATTTGGATTGGATAAGACACATCTCACATGGAGGCTACTGTATATAAGGTAATAAAAGGTGCGCATTATATTCACAATTGTACAGTATATAGTCAGCAAACAAATTGCTTCACCTTTTCATTGGCATAAATCTTACCTTGGTGCTTCAGAATAAGCTGCAGGATCCATAGGGTCTAGTTCATCTCTCTTTCGATCTACAAAAGAAAATTTAAGGCCAATAAAGACCAAAATAACTGCTTGTCGTAACAAGAACATATAAAAATTCTGCAGATATGTTTATTCCAGGTCATGACAGTGGTTTTCTATGCCTATGTCAGCTTCATACCAGTAAACCAATTCTGAAAGAGCATGGGTTTCCCATAAGGTTGGAGAAGAGAGTGAGCTTAAGCTTGATGAAATATGGGTAAAATTTGGGCAAACCGTAGGCCAAAAAGTAAATAACTTACTCTCTCTTCTGTTTCTACCTCTACCTCTACCTCCATCTCCACGTCTGCCATAATCTCTCTTCCTCTCAGATCTATCAGACATGATTACCTCCCCTTCCGAATCACTGGCTGATAAACTGTCATCATCATCATCACTCTACAAAATATAGAACTTTAGTGAGTCCACTCAAACATATATTGACATTAATCAGGAATAGTTTTAAATTTAGGAGTTTTAGGATTAAGTCATCATCAGTCAAATGAATTCAGATGTCTGTGGTTCTTGCAATTTAACCAATCCTAAGTGTTACATGATGTAGCTATTGCAAAGGCCCTTGGGTAATATTAGGCGCTTTTGCCATAGTGACGTCATATACTGATAACCATTACAGGAATAACAAATATCTGAATATAGATTAGAATATTGCAAACGGATGTTATCAGTGGTCCGATATACATAAAATTTAGACAAATTCTTCACAGTTTCTTTAAATAAATCACATACCAAATCACTGCCCTCCATCTTCTGTTCATCATCACCTCCATGATCTGAGAAATTATCTTTATCACTTAATAATCCTAAAAATATAATCACAATTCAAATTTGTACTCAATGTAACTCTAACTCAATTGGTTTCATTCGTGCTTCTTCCTTATCTGCTTCAAGGCATGTTTCTCTCGGCACGGATAAATTATGCCCGCACTGACTGTGTGCCTCAGAGTTGAATTTCCAATGGAAACTCTACACCAGATCCTTTTCCATGGAATGTTTATTCTTTCAGCTATTTTTTATAGTGGATTATTTTGGGAAGCTCTCCACAAATTGGGAAATTTATTCTTTCTTTGTACTTACCTTTTAATCTATCAGCAGGTAAAGTGACTACAGCTCTAGGATGTGTTGGTGACAACCAGGAAACCTGATCAGTCATCATATTCCAGTAGTAATATCGATTTCTAGAAAATATAAAATAACTTAATAGCTTCTCTTCAGTGAGTTTGACTCTAAGGTTTTCGTAACTTTTCATGTTTATCTTGGATTTGCACCATTCCAATCTCAGTCGTATTTATGTGATGCTTGCAATTCCACTAATACAAAGTGTTTTATGACAATGCTATTGCAAAGACTCTGTCATATTATTAGAAGACTTTACAATAGTGATGACACAAATAGAAGGTATAATTTGTCCTGATACACATAAAAGGCTAGAAAAATCTCCTATAGAACCAAAGCCAGATATTGAGATATCAAACATCATTTCCAAACTGTCAAGCAAGATATTTAGAGTATACACCTTCTGGGACTGTTCAAAAGAAAAACTTGAGCTATGTACTCTCAGGCCAATCATATTGATTTGAAAATATGTTTGGAAGTGGTCTTAAAAAACATTTTGGGGTATGTCTTATACATGACTAGCACACTGCACTGTACCAAGACTTAATATAGAAATTCAGCGTCTGTCTTACGTGATAGGATCTGCTACTTCTCTCCAATTTTCAGGTAAAGGAAATCTTCGCAACATGCGTTCACGTAATTTCAACATTCTAAGTTCTGGTTCGAATAATCTCAAACCGTAAGTGTTTTTACAATAATCACTGCACTCATGATAGGGGTTGATTTTCATTGGACAATTAATGACCTCTGCTACAATGGGTTCACTGGAGGATTCTTCGTCGTCGGTGGTAGTTTCCAGAGCTTCCATGATTTCTGGTGGGGGTACATTATGATGTTCTGTGTGATCATTGCCTTTTGGCATATCATCATAATCTTCTGCAAATACTTCTTCATCGTCTATAATAGACAGACAAATTCCAAATTAATTCCTTTAAATAAATATGTAACCTAATGTAACACAGTGTAAAAACAGGGGCAACCAATCATAATGACTGCTAATATTGTTACATTTACACTTACAAAATTACCAGAGGATATGACATGATACTAGACATGGATTTAATATCATAGTTCAGATTATACTTTTTATAACCTACTAGGCCTAGAAAATAATACAGCTTAGCCAGATAAAATTTGAAAAACCTAATTTTGCATAATGCTCTATAATAATATAACAGTTTCATATCAATAGAAAGAATTTGTGTTCAACAGAAAGTTCCAAAATATCAAATAGGTGACTGGCACACTATATCCAGCCTAGTACCGGCAGAGTCTAGAGTTGGCAAATTAGAGACACCATCATTATTTTTGACTCATTATTATCATTACCATTTTTGTCGTCATTGCCTTGCACCGCTGAGGGGATATCGTTGACAATCCCACGTTTAGCTAATCTTGCTGCTAAAGCTGGAGGTAATGGCATTTTAATATGATTAGTATCCTCTAGCCTAGTGCATTTATCAAAAATATCAACAAAAACACAAAAAAAGGTCTCAGGGAAGTTCCGTTCATAAGTATGAATTTGTAGAGCAAATAGTATAAAACGAAATAATATTAAAATAATAAATTGGAATTAAATCAGGCTCTCTCTTAGAAAACAACAACCACGCGACATGCATGTTTTCCACCATTTGATGTCTATAAACGACAAAATGTCATTTCGGCGTGGTATTTGCCTTTGACCTATTTCTAACAACTTGAAATTTCCTCACATACTTATCGAGTTGTTTTGCCTTCAATAAAATTTGGACAGGGTTGTCCAGTCTCGTAGTTATTACATAGAATATTTCTGACTGGATATTCAAGTCTACTGTATGTGTAGGAATTTCCTATTTATCGATTAGTTTTCCTCACTAACTTAAGTATCAGTTTACACAGAACGGTGCCAGTGTAAAGGTCTTCGACGAAATTTACCGACGTGTGATGTGGCACTAGTGCTATGGAATCATTTTGGAAATAGACTGACGATTCCTGTTCTCTTTTTCATGCTGATCGGGCAAAAACAACGATTGAGATAACAAAAAGTGAAATTTTGTGGATTTCTCTCAGAGTTTGACAGTTCATCACCCAAAGAAAATAACTCTGTGAATTAAAATTCCATGACCCACCCATGCCAGGTTTGGTTTGAGATATAAGAAATAAGCAAAAAGGTTCAGTCTTTAGCTTCAAAATGACTCCATATTCAGCATTTGTGGGCTTGTTCCTTTTGATGGTGAAGCTTGTAGAATCAACACAAAATTATGGTAATATTTCTTTTTTTTTGTTCCCAGCTAGGCCTAGTGCTTAGACCAAATTTTTTTATTTTTCACAAATGTATGAAATGGATAACAGAAAGTTGCAGTGATGGATACCCAGAAAAAAGCTAGGTCTTAGTGAAATTTCAAGAACCACTGACATCTGATCGAAAATTGGAATGAAGCAAATCGATGCTACCAGTGTCCCTGATATATAAACAAATTTTAGAAAACCTCCTTAAAATCCTAAATTAAAAACCAAACGATACCTTTTGTGTCAAGCAAAAATATTGTAAAATTGCAATTATTTTGAAGCTGATATATTTCCAGTCCACAAAAAAATATATTTTTTTCATAAAACTTTAATTGAAAGTATGAAGGTATGGGTTTTTTTTGGATATTTCTCAATTTTGATAACATATCAATTGAAAATAGTGTCAGTTTGTTTGTCTTGTCATAGATTAATCCCATCTGATGTTAATTAGGAGATGTTAATCCAAACCAGATAATCCCTGAATATATAACACATATTTGTTATTGTTATCATTGCGTTTATACAAATACAGTCCTTGTTATTGTTATCTTTTTGAAAATCCCTATTAACATGATATTAGTTTGTTAGTATTATCTCATACTAATGTGTTATTATCAATAAATAGATGGGACAGTGATACAGTTTGTCCAAATAGTTCTTAAAGGGGCATTCCACTTTTTTTTGCTAACATTTTCATTATCGTGAATTATACTGTTTATTATGTTATTTATATCTATGTATCTACTTGATCAAATTGAATTTGTTTTAAAAGGGTAAATTAAAAATGGAGAGTACTTAAATCCGCACAGTAGTTTTTTAACAGCTTCCAAAAACCAAAACAAAGTTAAAACCTTACGTAATGTTTTTAAATAGTTTTGGCGTTTTTTAGTTTATCTTTGAGATAAATTAAGGGACATATTTCTCTAGATATAGGTTTATAGTTTTCACAAATTTGAGCAAAATAATATCCATTTCAAAGGCAGCAAATGTTAACTAATTTAACAACCTTTTTTGCTTAAATTTTTGTAATTTGATCTTATTTGTGAGAAATGCAAACATATAAGGGGCATTGCATTGATCTCCTCCCTGTTGAGATTTAAAATGGAATTGGGGCAACCACTCTAAGCTGATTTTAGGATAATTTATGCACATATAATTAATCTCATACCCACAGTTTACTAGAAGTACTATTGATTAGAAAGAATGTAACAAACAAATTAAGCCAAATTGCTTTGTCCCTTGCTCTCATTAGATACAGAAAATGTTTCGGATTTTTCGATTCATATCACTTCAAAAATCTTGTAAGCTTTTAACTAGGAAATGATATCCAAAAGGAAAATCAAAATGAATTCATTTTTGAGTTAAATCTGTCATTTTAATTTAAAAACAAGACAATGCATTGATGTGGCTTTTGAAAAATGGCAAAGGCAAATTTGTCATAAATTTTTCAAAATTTAGAAAGTAAACTTGACTTAAAGTCGTCCATGTTTGTTTAAGTACTAAGTTGCTATTGGTACCAGGTTTAGACTATATTTAGTATACTAGTGTTAAAATAGTCACCACATGTGAACCAATGTATGTACTTTGACACATTTCTGTGTTTACTCTGTCTTTTAGGCTTAAAGAGATTGTAAATTTTGTATATGTATCAGGGACACTGATAGTATCACTTTGCTCCATTCCAATTTACATCCGTTCCTGCAATTCTACTTAAACTAAGTGTTTGATGATGTCACTAATCACAATATACTGTATCACATAAGGATTTTGCGATTAGTGAAGTCATAATACGCTTAGTTTAAGTGGAATTGCAGGAACCACAGACGTCTGGTTGAGAATTGGAATGGTGGAAGGTACTCATGCAGTGCGTATCCAACGTGATACGTCGGTAAAACTTGCATTTTAAACTCATAGTGAGATTTTTTACCCTTCGGTAGTAAAAAGTCAGTAAACCATTTAACGTTGGTTAGTGAAAGGACGTTCAATTTGATATCATTATGATTTTGTTGATTCGGTGGACAACAGTAGAATGTAGATTTTCTTACAACTCATATATTTTAAATTCCCTCCAATATAAAAACCAAAACCATATAATTGCATGTACTTGTGTTTTCGCCTATATACTCAAAAGTTGCATAGAATGACACGTGTCCAAATTTTGTGGTTGAATCTTTTTTTTTTCTTGATATAATATTCACAATCTGCTGTATGAAATTAATATTGATTTTAAATCACTCAGCAGGAAATGAAACTTTGAATTTTGAATTAAAAGTTACCTGAAGCAAACTTGACGTGAAAAATTCAAAATTTAAAGATGGGTTGCCTTACTCTTTAATGTCAAATTAAGCAAACTATTTGATTAATTGATGTTTCTAATGAATTATCATGTATTCTTAATCATAAATCTTATTGCATATAATTAAGAGTTTTAACCAATCATAAATGTCCATGTCCATGAATACAGGGGAACCCATCTTTAATGATGGAAATACTTGAAACAGGTGCTCTGAAAGAGAAATAATTTATGTTTTGTTTATGTCATTAGCTACAGAATAAATCATATTAAATCTCAAATTCAATAAAGATCTAAATTCAGCTTTGGTCGTAATAAAAGTTAATAGGTTTAAATAATACCTCTCGAACACTCTTCTCAACCATCGGACATAGTCTAAAGATTTAAAGGGACAGGTATGCCTTTTTGGGGGTTGATTTTAATCTTGAATATATGTAAATAGTATTCAGAAGTATTTGAAATGTACAATTAACATTCAATCGCGGATAATTCTAGACACACATGGATTTGAAGGCTCAAATTTGGATGGTGAGCTGTGAACACTATTACTTAGCTAAAAAAATTCCCATGTCTGAGACTTAAGTATGATTGGTCAAAAAAATGGAGCATATGTCACTTTAAACTGTCAAATTTTGGATTTCTAAAGACTTAATTGTGAACACCTTGAGGACGAAATTCAGTCAAAGTTTTGTTTTTATGGAATTGACACCCCCTTGTGAAGGATTATGTATAGTTGAATGTGTAACTTCCTGTGAGTCAATGAAACAAAAACATTCTGTACTAATTAATAAATTACTAAGGCCTTCCCTTTCCTTCCACATTGTCAACTTGTTCTACTGGTTTGGTGGGTTAACAAAGAATAGTGTACTATCTGCACTGTATTTTTATAAATCATATTAATGTTATCATTATTATTTATGGGGGCTCAATTTTCATGTCAGCCAATCCATGAAATTTTTTTCCCATGAGACACTTAAGGGACACTACCACTTGAATTGATCATAGAATTCAACGCGAATGCTTCTCGGAATACACCATTTTGTTGGATGTTCTCCAAATCCTAGTGTAAGATAGGGCAAGAATTTGATTGGCTTGCGGTGTCATTAAACGGATGAATGTTCAAGAAGGCTGTCTTTAGACCCTTACTGAAGTGGCTATATTAAAAATAAAAACTGATAAAAAACGGACTGAAAGTTTCAATTTTCATGTCAGTCAATCCATGAATTTTTTTTGTTCGCATGAAATACTTAAAGGAACACTACCTTAAAAAATGAACACAAAATTTAATTTCTAAAAACTTGGTCAATAAGAATATATATTCACCAGATGCCATGACTAAAGAATAAAATCTCTATATAAGTTGATGTATTCATTAAACTAAATAATAATTTAAAAAGGCTTCTAGACGTGTTTCAAAATTAAATTTCAATGAATTATTACTTTAGTTTTATGGATTTATTAGATTATAGAGGGATTCTGTTGTATAGTTATGACACTAGATAAGTCCACTGATGAACAAAGACTCATTTTGGCCAAGTTTAAAAATTTTAATTTTTGGCATTCCTATGAGGTAGTACCCCTTTAAACGTAGGAAATGGTTTGACATACTACATAAGTTTCTAGTAAGAAAATCTGTAGTGTAGGTTGTAGAAAGAGAAACCTGTTGTATATCACGTTTACACAAAGTCTATAGTCTTTATCAATGGTTTTAACATCTGGTTCAATATAGCTGACAATCTGGTTAGATGGTTAAACCTTTGAACTCTGACCCCATGTGGATACTGTGTCATTTCTTTATTATGGACCTTTCAATTTAAAGTAGCCATCCCAGATAGAGTTTAGACTTAAAGAGATTGTACAGAGGTTTTATAACGTTTTATGAGGTTACTAGAGGGGTACTGCATATATATCAATAGTAGCTTCCGGTAGCTCCCCTCTAGTAACGTCATAATACACGTTAGTTTTAGTTGAATTGCAAGAACTACAGACGTCGGGATGAAAATTAGAATAGTGAAAATTGTAATTTTTTAGCCCAATCATTCCTTTTTAGCTAAGCCAATCAGTAATGATTCACAGCTCACCGTCAAAATTTGAGCCTTCAAATTCATGTGAGTCCAGAATTATCCGCATTTGAAAGTTTAAAGCCATATATAGAAAAGACATCTATAGAAATGGTTTGAGATATTTTTGAAAGAATTATGTGATTTTCGTACATTTCTTGTTCTTCTGAAGACTATTTATGTACATATTCAAGACTCAAATCAACCCCAAAAATGGGCACCTGTCCCTTTAAAATCATGCAACACTGAAATTTGAAAGCAACACTACTTAATTGGTTGTCTAGTTGGTGGATGAAAAGTTGACGTCAGCTTCTTGCTAAAGCTGCTATCACAAATCAGGTGGTTGTTGTTGGTAGCTGTGGTAGTAGGATCTGGATCAATTGGATGGTTTCTATTTATAGATTTGTTAGCAGTAACTGTAGCTACAGAAGAAACAGATGGATTTAAAAGATTTATGAGATCTGCTAAAAAATATGATATCAACGTTAAAGTAAGTGAATTTGTCTTTTAGGCCTGCACATTTCAGACATCAAGCCATGTGACCTAGAAGCCTGTTGGACTCTTCAAGCACAAAAACTGATGGAATCCACATTTATAAAGCCATGTAGACTCTCCATACAAAAGCCTTATGGACTCTCCAAAATAGAAAGCTTGATAAGGCAATGGACTCTCCAAATTAAAAGACTCTGCATTATCCAAAAGTTAAGAAAAATTAAGATATATTTTTGATGTTGCAGGTGTTAGGTCTAGGTGAAGAATGGAAAGGTGGAGATGTTGCGAATTCAGCAGGCGGAGGTCAAAAGGTCAATATTTTACGGCAGGGATTAAAGGAATTTAAAGATAAAGATGATCTTGTTATCATGTTTGTAGATAGGTAAGTATTGTTTCCCATCTATGATCTAGTGTATTGTTTCCCACCCATTATCTAGTGTATTGTTTCCCACCTATTGTTTCCCACCTATTGTTTCCCACCTATTGTTTCCCACCTATGATCTAGTGTATTGTTTCCCACCTATGATCTAGTGTATTGTTTCCCACCTATGATCTAGTGTATTGTTTCCCACCTATTGTTTCCCACCCATGATCTAGTGTTTTTCAATATTTCCACCTATGATCTAGTGTATTGTTTCCCACCCATGATCTAGTGTATTGTTTCCCACCTATGATCTAGTGTATTGTTTCCCACCTATGATCTAGTGTTTTTTAATATTTCCACCCATGATCTAGTGTTTTTGAGTATTTCCACCCATGATCTAGTGTTTTTGAGTATTTCCACCTATGATCTAGTGTTTTTTTGAAAAATCTACCTATGATTCAGTGTTTTTCAATATTTTCAGCTATGATTTAGTGTTTTTCAATATTTTCACCTGTGATCTAGTGTTTTTTTTTTTTTTTAATATTCCCACCTATGATCTAGTGTTTTGCAATATTTTCAGCTATGATCTAGTGTTTTCTGATGATAAACAATCCATATTAGAGAAATTTAAGAAATTTGATGCTAATGTGATATTTTCTGCTGAAGGTTATTGTTGGCCAGACTCTTCCTTGAGGGTAAGTATACCTTGAAACACAAACTAGGCCTATGTGGGTTTTGTAATTCCACTAAAACTTTATGACAGAAAGACTAAAACTTTATGACAGAAAGACATCTCATGGAAAATTGGTTTGCCCTGATACACATTAAAAAAATGTTGGGAAACCTCTTTATAACTTGTCAAAGTTACTCTTGAGAGTTTAATTGTGAGTTTGAGTATTCTAAACTTTAAATAGTTAGTAAAATAACGGAATAAGATGTGATGGAGATCTATTTTGGGTGTTTCTGAAGAAGGCAGTAAGCCGAAACGTCAAATAACAGGATAATAATATAGTTTTAATTGGTTTCCCCCTTTTTGGGAATTTGTGATACTCTTTATAATCCCTTTGAGCTGAAAATGTAGATAAATAATTTTTTATCATACTCTGTTTGTAACTTAGAAATAATTTTATAACTTATCTATTTTTCCAGTCTCAATATCCAGAAGTTAAACAAACAGAAAAAAGATATTTAAATTCTGGAGGTATATACATATAGTTTGTTTTTTTGCTCCCAATCTGCTACAGATTAATTGAATTTTGATAATTGAAAGATTCTCTTCAGGAGTGTTAATTTGGCTATGTTTGCCAGACAGGTCCTCCTTTGCCCAAAATATTTAAATTCAATTGAATTTTGAATTCGGCTAGTCAAAGATTCTCCTCAGGAGTGTTAGTTGGGCTATATTTGCCAGTCATGTCCCCCTATCCCAAAATATTTTGCTCTAATTCAATTTATTGGGCTAGCCATAGATTGGTTTTGCCTTATTTGCCCGCCCAAAACAATTTGCCTAACTAGTTAGTTCTGGAAATAAATTATCATTTCAGGATTTATTGGGCTAGCCATAGATTGGTTTTGCCTTATTTGCCTGCCCAAAACAATTTGCCTAACTAGTTAGTTCTGGAAATAAATTATCATTTCAGGATTTATTGGGCTAGCCATAGATTTGTTTTGCCTTATTTGCCTGCCCAAAACAATTTGCCTAACTAGTTAGTTCTGAAAATAAATTATCATTTCAGGATTTATTGGGCTAGCCATAGATTGGTTTTGCCTTATTTGCCTGCCCAAAACAATTTGCCTAACTAGTTAGTTCTGGAAATAAATTATCATTTCAGGATTTATTGGGCTAGCTAAAAATTTATATGATGTTGTTAGTTATAAAACTATCAAAGATAGTGATGATGATCAACTATATTATACCAAGATATTCCTTGATAAATCACTCAGGGTGAGTAGAAAATAACCAGTATGAACTCTCCAGAAGGGATGCCACATTGACAATCCCACTAAAAGAATGGTGTTAGGTGTTCCAGAGCAGCAGACATGCCCTGATTCTCTAGCAACTACAGTCATTTTGTATATTTATCATTTCAGTCTAAGCATAATATCAAACTTGACACAAAGTCTGAAATATTCCAAAATTTAAACGGAGCTCTTGGTGATACCACATTGAAATTTAAGGGCAGTAAAAGTTATATGTATAATGTTAAAACAGGAACTCACCCCTCTATTATACATGGTAATGGACCCATTAAGGTATGTATCAAATTGCTCATTCCTGGTCAGTGAGTTTCTTAACAGTTTCGCACATCAGCCTATGGGGTCCAGGAGTCAAATCCAATGTCTTTGTTTATTCAGTTGAAGTCCCCCCTCCTCCCAAACTGTGTCGTTTTGATAGGGCCCTTTACTGAGGCCCATGTACATCCAGCAGCAGTCGGAAGTAGAATTAAGAGGTCAAAGCACCTTTCTAGCAAAAGTTTCCCCATTGCCCAATCCTGAGTGAGTCCTGTCTTCATCAGGTCAATAAAATTTTGCTGTGTTATTTTCAGAATGAGTTTAACAGATTATCAAACTATCTGGTAGACAGTTGGACTGTTAGTAGTGGATGTCAAGCTTGTGATGAAGATACTATCAGTTTAGAAGGAGTCAAGGTGAGGCCATTTTGTTTTCTGATCAATCTTCTAAGAGGAAAGCCTATACATGAAATACCAACATACAAAATCCTTAGTCAAAGTCCACAATCTGACAAAATCAATGAAGTAGAAATGAAAGGACTAATATGATTGGGTAATATTAAATCAAGTTAAAATCATTTTTAGGGATTGACCAATCAGATGAAGGGAATTCTTAGTTAATTTTTTGTGAAAGGATCCCTTTATTTTGAAATTACAGAAAACATTTTTCTACCTTCTTTACAGGAGAGTGATTATCCAACAGTGCTCATTGGTATTTTTATTGAACATCCAACGGCATTTTTACGTGAATTCTTTGAAGACATTTTAAATCTAGCTTATCCTAAATCCAAAATAGATCTCTACATTCACAACTGGGTAAGTGAAATTAAGAATTGGTGAGACAAATCGTGATTGGTGAGACAAATCATGAATTGATGAGGCAAATCATGAATTGGTGAGACAAATCATGAAGAGACAAATCATGAATTGATGAGACAAATCATGAAAAGGGGAGACAAATGTGGGTTACTCCAAGTCAGATTTTTGAAATATTCTGTTTTATTACAGGAATCTCATCATAGAAAATTGGTAGAGAAATTTATTAACGAACATAAATTAGACTATAATTCATTAACCTCTATTTCACCATTTGATGATGTTGATGAAATTAAAGGTCGTGATAGAGCTATGTAAGTATACAGCTAGTTTATATTTTTGAAAGAAAAGATTCCTGATATCATATGTAAAGGAGACACTCGAATTGATATCAGATTACAAATTTTTTTTTTGGGGGGGGGGGATATTTTTGTTTTACTTGTAATTTAACAACATTTTTACATTAGTTGCATGCTAATCATGTTATTTTAAACCATTCAAAGCGTGTCATGTTGGACCCATTCTTTGATATCATTGATGAATTGAATTGTGGGATATCGAAACCCAAAGTAGAGGATTAATGGAATTTGCTATCCGAAAATTTGTCCATGTGCATTATTTGATTGATGTAACCAAAGCAAATGATTAAAGGACTCAACCAAACTTGTGTTTGTCAAGTGTTGAATGTCAACTCCTTATCTCTCATCCCTTTTAGAGAGTCCACATAAGAATATTTTGTTTATTTTTATTGACAGTGATGAATGTATTAAGAAGAATTGTCAGTATTATTTAGCTGTTGATTCTGATGCTCATTTATCTAATGCCTATACATTACAATCTTTAATAGAACAGAATAGGTAAGTTAACTAGGGGAAGAATAGGTTAATGCATTGAGCGCGTTAAGTCTTGTGACCTGTTGTCTGATAATGAAGGCTCATAATAAAGGATTTCTAAATGCTTTTTCAACCTGATCGTGCTCTCTTGTAAGATTTGAGGACCTCATGGATGTGTTAAATATGTGATGAGCTAAGAGGATGTGTTTGAATCATCAAGAGTTTTGAAGACTTTCTGGACTCAAAAGGAATTCTAAGGACCCTTGCGGCTAAAAGAGCTCTGAAGACCTGATGGACTCTATCCATGGTCAGGATTAAAAATCTGGAGATTTGCCTTGAAGAGTCGTTATAAAGTTTGAGGACCCTTAATGCGGCATGCGGACTTAAGAGCTGTAAGGACCTCTAGGACCTCATGGAGGAACAGTATGTGTTATAAGGACCTGTTTTGACACATAGGGAGTTATAAAAACCCTCTTGACCTTTACAAATTTTGAGGACCTTTCAGCTCTTTAACCTTTGTTTGAGATCTCTGCTTGTAAACCTTAGAAAAGCTTTATTGAAAAAAATGATTGAATTTTGTATTTAGATCCATCATAGCCCCTATGTTAAGTCGAGATGGCAGACTGTGGTCTAATTTCTGGGGAGCTCTAAATAAAGATGGTTTCTATGCCAGAGCAGAAGATTATGTAGACATTGTGGAGAGAAGAAAAATGTAAGTTAATGATATTGATCAGGGCCATTGATTTGGTTCTATATTCCAGACATGACTGGCGATGCAGCTTAAATGTCTGGAAATCATAAGCCTCTGTTGGACATCAAGTGTAGGTTAGCCGTGGTGCATCATTCAAAATCAATCTCAATGCAAAATTTTAATTTTAATTGTCAGCAGAGAAAAAAACATTTACTTCATTGTAGACAAACTACACATTGGATTTTTAATCTGAAAAGTACCATGCATGGCACAAAATGTGCTCTATGCAGCACATACTTAAAAAATTATATGTCTATTCTGCAATATTAGTTAGCTGGATGCAGATGTAACATGTTGTCCACCAACCATCCAATTATTTGCCTAAAATAATCCATAATATGAAATCTTTCTTTTCAGTGGTGTATGGAATTCCCCATTCATTAGTTCAGTGTTTTTAATACATGGCTTCAGACTTCCAGCTTTACGTAATTCTCACGGTAAACCTAATATAGATCCTGATATGGCTTTCTCTCAGGCAGCCAGAGATAAGGTAAGAATAACTCCTGTTCAGTGAGTTTGTGCATTCTTTGCTAATACTAAGGGTCTATCTTAATCCAAACATCTAATACTAATTTTATCCCGATTTCCAAGGGTAATGCATTTAATGCTCTTAACATATGTCAAATTTATTTGTAAATATTTGAAATTTATTTGTAAATATCTGAAAGTTATTTATTTGTAAATATCTGAAAGTTATTTGTAAATATCTGAAAGTTATTTATTTGTAAATATCTGAAAGTTATTTGTAAATATCTGAAAGTTACTTGTAAATATCTGAAAGTTATTTGTAAATATCTGAAAGTTATTTATAAATAAATGAAACCTATTTGAAAATATCTGAAATCTATTTGTAAATATTTGACATCTATTTGTAAATATCTGAAATCTATTTGTAAATATCTGAAATCTATTTCTCTATTTCTTGTTTTAGGGTATATTTATGTATGTAAGCAATCGTCAAGTATTTGGTCATCTTATTAACAGTGATAACTATGATACAGACCATAATACAGATGAATTATTTCAAATATTTGATAACCCAAGTGTAAGTTTCTATATTCAGTTCCCTTGACTGGCAAATGCTGCAGGCAAGATGTACTGATACCCAAAACATTACTGTTCATTTTTCATGTTCAGAATTGTTCATGAACGTTCAGAAGTATCGCTAATGGACTGGAGTAGAGCTGGGCAATATTGGTTGAAGTTGATATCACGATATGGTGATATTTTGGTATTTTTTAATCAGACGATATTATTATTGGTATATCACCCAGCCCTAGACTGGAGTATGTTTTTTCAACCAGTATAAACTATATTTATGTATGTTTGACAGGATTGGGAAAGAAGATATATTCATGAAGATTATTATAAGAATTTTGACGCAGGAGTGGTGGCTGAACAGGTAATATCCTTATTCTAGGATCTATTTCAGGAACAAAACAGCTGAAAGGGTGCAATTTGTAGCTATGTGTATCACCTCTCAGAATGGTAATCAATGTCTGGTTTGTCTGCAATAGCAGGTCGATGTATTAATGGAAAAGATGACATTGATTTGTACAATAAAAAGATTTTTGGCTCTGATATGTAAACATGTTTTGTGTGCTGGTAGTCGCACTTTGACCATTGACTAATCTTAATTGAATTATGTTTTTGTGTTTGTAGCCATGTCCAGACGTCTATTGGTTCCCCATAGTATCACCTGAATTCTGTCAAACATTTATAGATGAAATGGAGAGTTATGGACAATGGTCTGGTGGTAAAAATAGCGTAAGTTTTATGGTTCACTATTAAACGAGGCGTTTTTTGCTCCGCAAATGAAAAGGTATGGGGAGAGGCCCTGTGGTACAGTAATTAAGACAAGGGTTTAATCCTGGCATAGGTTGAGATTTTTCAACTTGGTTTTCCCTTGTCAGTGATGCTGAGATATGGAAAAGGCAAAATATATTCGTTTGGATGAGACTATAAACTGCGGACCCTTCAGCTGCAGGAAGTGCACGAAGATACCCCAACAGTTGGAAATCATCTGTTAAAGCTGCTATCCTGATGAAATTTTTTCATTGCACACTGCATGGTGTTGTCAGTTTCATTAGCCCTTTTTGGTGTAGAAAAGTTTTTCAATTCTATTTTTGTAGGATCCCCGTTTAGCAGGCGGGTATGAGAATGTACCAACAGTAGATATACATATGAATCAAGTGGGACTGGAACGACAATGGTTACATTTCTTACAGAAATACGTTTCCCCATTACAACTGAGTGTTTTTACAGGCTACGTGCATGATGTAAGTTAATCTTTATTGATTTAAAGGAATACTTCCTCCTAAAATAGACATAAAATTTTAATTCTTAGTCAACAAGTGTATATATTCATCAGTTGGACTTGGAATAGAATCTCTATGTAAGACGATATATCCATTAAACTAAATAATTATTGAAACACAGTTCTTAGTTTGTTTCAAAATTACTTACGAAAGCATTAAAGGGATTGAAAATTTTTGTATATATATCAGGGACATTAATAGCTTCAATGGCACCATTCCAATCTTCAATCAGACATCTGCAATTCCACTAAAACTAAGTGTTTGATGACATCACTTAGATAACTAATCTGTTTTTGAAATATGGCTGGAAGGATTTTAAGAACCACAGATATCTGACTGAAAATTGGAATGACGCAATCTCTTTACAATCACTTTGAGGATCTTATCCTACCAGCTCGTTCTTGACCAAATCTCTTGACAAAGATCTTTTCAAGTATAAATATGATTTTCACAGTGAACAGTGGTTTAATAATTCTGTTTTATTTCAGCCACCAACAGCCATCATGAATTTTATAGTACGATACAAACCAGATGAACAACCATTATTACGACCTCATCACGATTCTTCCACATTCACCATTAATATAGCTTTGAACACACCAGGTGTTGATTTTGAGGTAAGTCAAAGCCAAAGGGTAATGGAGGCAAATGCTTCACTTTTGAAACAATAACCAACTTTCAATTTTATCGAGATGATACCTTCAGATTTTTCAACCTAGTTCCCCCTCCCTGTCAGTGATGCAGGTAAGAGGGACTGACATGGAAAAAGAGCAGACTAATGCCTGGCATTGCAACCTGCATATCGTTGCAAGATACGAACCAGACCAGAACTAGTCGACATGCATTTGCTGCGTTCGATGCAGTATTTAATCGTAAACTCACTATTACGTACTCCTTGGTTCACAACCCAAACTTTTGACATGGAGTTTTACACCCCTATTATTTAAGTCTGCTGTATTTTTCTATAATTTTTACCTGTTTACTTCAACAGAGGAATCAACTATTAGTTTAATTCTTTCATTTCATGCTGCATTCGATACTGTCTTTTTTTGTTTGCAGGGTGGTGGTTGCCGATTTATCCGATACAACTGCAGTGTCACGGCAACCAGGAAGGGATGGTTACTGATGCATCCTGGGAGATTGACTCATTATCATGAGGGACTACGCGTTACCAAGGGAACCAGATATATCATGATATCTTTTGTTGACCCATAAACACTTGAAAGCAAATGAGATTTTTTGCACTTTTTTGTAAATAGACATAAAGAAAATCATATCTGTTCGCTTGATTGAAACAGAAAACTGCCAAAACGTGCCTTGAATTGCCAAAATTTTGTGGGCGATATTTTGTGATAATAATATTTGTATGGTTGTCAAATCGTCTTATGTTTGTTCTGTCTTTAGCTTGTATTTAACTATCTTCAGTCTCAAAGGGTAGTGAGTAGTTTTTCAAGATCAAGCCTTTGATTTTAATAGCACCCATAGGTGTTGAAGATGGGAACAAAAAACATTTTTTAGGTTATTTACTCATTTGTGACAATTGCATTTTCATACTGGGACAATTTCAATTATTTTAGTTCAACTGGTTTGGGCCTATCTGTGTGAATTTTCATAAGAGGTTATGTTAATTTATGTTTTAGAATATTTCTGTCAATTTACGTACCGTATTCATTTTAATTGAAGCCCTGGCGCGTTGCATTTTTTCAGAAGGGGAAGCGTTAATTTTCTTCCAAAATCCTATCAATAAAAACAATGTAATGTTCAAGATCTGCTTCTTTGATTAATTTTATGGAGACATGGATTACTATAAAAAAAAAAGGAAAGGGGGGCGTTGATTATGGTAGAATTATTAGAATGAATATGGTTCGTCTTGTTATTCAAATCCTTTGACAGGATGCACTGTTACATTACTTTTTCAATTTCACAGTAAAATCAAGTTGATATAAATTTTTTTCTGGTATTTATATGGACTCGATATGAATCAAAAATATTATGAATCTCTATATATTATTGTATATTTTTATTGAACAACAATATTTTTTTTTATTAAATTTTAAACCCTTTGCTTAAAGGACATGAGTGTCTAGTAAATATTTTGATGACTTAGTTCTTTAAACAATTTCAAATCAATCAAAACAGAATGATTTCTAGTTATCAGCCAGTCTTGTATTGTTGTGAGAACCACTGGTTTCTGCTGTTGAAAATTATTGTAGACACCCATATTTTCGATGATCTGTTCTTGAAATTTGAACAAATTAAATTACATCAGACTGATCAAATTACATCAGACTGATCAAATTACATCAGACTGATCAAATTAAATTACACCAGACTGATCAAATTATACCAGACTGATCAAATTAAATTACACCAGACTGATCAAAAATTACATCAGACTGATCAAATTATACCAGACTGATCAAATTATACCAGACTGATCAAATTAAATCAAGACTAATCAAATTAAATCAGACTGATCAAATTACATCAGACAGATCAAATTATTCCAGACTGATCAAATTATACCAGACTGATCAAATTAAATCAAGACTGATCAAATCAAATTAAATCAGTCTGATCAAATCAAATTAAATCAGAGTGATCTAATCAAATTAAATCAGGCTGATCCAATCAAATCAGACTGATCTAATCAAATTAAATCAGACTGATCAAATCAAATCAGACTGATCTAATCAAATCAAACTGATCTAATCAAATTAAATCAAACTGATCTAATCAAATTAAATCAAGACTGATCAAATTAGATTACACCAGACTGATCAAATTATACCAGACTGATCTAATCAAATTAAATCAGACTGATCAAATTAAATTAAATCAGGCTGATCCTATCAAATCAGACTAATGTCTGCTATGATTTTATAGCAATTTGATCAAATTAAATCCATTAAAATGAAAACCGTCCATATTTTTCTGTGTTTTGTTTGAACTGATAGATTTATTGTGCTATTTCAAGAAAACTGAACTCATTTGATTGGCCAATGACTAAAATCGATTTTAAATCTTACACATCAGATTACAGTATTTCTGAAATTATTGGTTAGAATTTTGTGCAATAGGCCACTGGTTAACAATATGGGGCACTAATAGCTTCCGTGGGGCATGGCATACATTTAAGGGCATACATAGAAGTTTTTGGAAGATTTTGGACTTTTACATATGCTAATAATTTGTGGAGGGAAGTGGTGCTTAATTGGTATGGATAAGGGTATGGAAAAACCATACAGTGCTAGATCATTTAAGATATTATTTTCAAGTCTTCCTCATTTGATATATTTTTTGACTGTAATTTAGATACAGAATAAATCTTGTCTAAAATTTGGTGTTATTTGTCAATGTGAACTAATATATGGGCATTGATTATTTCAACTTCAAAACCTTGAAATGAAATGGTATCTTGTGTCCATGTTTTCTGCATCTGATTGGGCTTATGGAAACTGGCAATGCCATGCAGTGAGCAATGAGGGAAATTTTACCAGGATGTGCTCAGTCTGTAGCACATAGGGGGCCTTAGTGAATCTTGTGCCATACTGTGGGTCAGGCTTTCACAAGACTCCACAGAGCTTCATCATCCAATCAGATTTATTTGCATGATCATGTGTATCTCGAAAATGACCGACTGGAGAGTTTTTGTGTCCTTGTGTGCCCGCAGCTGCTCAGCAAGTATCACAGCGCCACAAAGCATTCGTGTCATTTCCTAACAATAAGAACACAAGTTGTATACAAACTTCGTTTATATAAAAGATAAGATCATTGTTTACATGATAAAGATACACAGATAGAAAGGGATACACAATATTTATGTGTTCTATGTATAGAGTGGAAAGACAAAGAAGAAATATTTCAGACAATACAAAACTATTTCTACATAAAACACATTCATACATCCTTATTCCACAAACATACGTATTATATACAGGGGCAATATTTCATCCCATTTTTAGCCGTGACTATCTACACATGCAATCGTGACTATCTATTCATGATTTGTGATGTCATATTCTATCGTGACTATCCATGATTTTTGGATCTCAAATGCAATCGTGACTATCCATGATTTTGGAATCTCAAATGCAACCGTGACTATCCATGATTTTGGAATCTCAAATGCAACTGTGACTGTCCATGATTTTAGAATCTCAAATGCAATCGTGGCTGTCCTTGATTTTGTGATGTCATTTGCAGTCGTCGTGACCATCCATGATTTTGGGATTTGAATATATTAACAACTATCTATTCATGAGTATGATGTCAAATGCATAAACGACTATCTATTCATGATTTTGTGATGTCATATGTGAACAAGACCAGTCATATCTAGCAATGATTTTCCATGATTTTTTTTTCTATGAATATTTGTGACTATATCGTGCCATATATACATAGCTGATAAAGTTTATCTGAATAACTAATATAAGGTCACTTATATGACCTGTCATGAATATATAATGTCATATTTTTCATGACTACATGTATATATATGATATATATTCATGACTTTGCCCATCTTCACAATGTCAAGCTATTACAAACTGTGCCTACTAATACCTTGACTGCAATAGTCACTAGTCTTGTATCACAGAATGCAACTATTTGTTTGGATTGTACGCCATCAAATATAGCCAATCAGAGCCCTTGACAGAAAGACTGTAAAGGTTATAGCTTTTTGTTCAGGCCTCTGATTGGCTGTATTCGTTAGCATACAATCCAATCAAATTGTTTCATTTACAAACTTCCATTATACAAGAAAGATGACTATTGCAGTCAAGGAATAAGTATAAAATTCCTAATAGCTTGACAATGTGTAGATGAACTTTGTCTAATATGGCAACTTTTTAAAAGTCAATTTCACCGTTTTCAAAATTGCTTTGGAACTAACTCATAAAAAAACATTCATTCATTCACATTCTTTTAAAGAATTGATCTTGGCACATATTTTTAGCGCCGGACCAAGTTTAATATTCATGTTCGTCATTAGATGTTCTTCATTTAACAATAATAAAGCTTGACCATCAATCTCTTGTGAGCGGAACTCTTCAGCAATGGAGGCACAACCTTGTAAGTTATTGATGAAATCACACACTTCTGCCACCTGTGAAGAAGAAAACAATCTGTGAAAAAGTTTATAGAAACTCAGAAGAGGCTTTGTGTAAAGCACTGGCCGAGGTAATAAATAAATAAATATACTCAAAACAAAATAAAGATACTACTGAAGATAAGGAATTCAACACATTGCAGTTTTCAATGAAGTAAATTTTTCAAGGACTAGAGGATTCAAAGATCTCAAGGTTCACCCATCTAGACATCCATGTAATATGGTTAGATGCTATGCAGTATGCAATGAAGCAAATTTAAGTTTATTAAATGGATGTGTCTATGCCTTACCGTCCATTTTGCAGGGTTAGTTGTGGAAGCCGATTGTTCTACAGGTTCATCCATCTCTACATCAATGTCCTGTGGGTTAGATGGTGAGGCTGGAGTGGAGCTGCTATCTTGATTACTGTTACTGCTACTCATATCATCAATGGCTACCTACAAATTTCAACAATTTAAATGAAATGAAATGAAATTGAGCTTTCAATTCTACTTAATTCTGCTCTGAGCTAATTGAGGAGAAATTTGCAATAAAAGCACTCTGTTGAAAGAAAAAACACTGTAAATGATATGCACACTATAGGCAAGAAGTTGGCAAATCGTAGACACCAATTCAAGCACATGGAAACAGTGGCATTGTGACATGATTGAAAAAAACAAGAACTAATAAAGGATAGAAAGTTTTAGGTTATTTTCTTACCTGTTCCTGATCGTCTTTGTCTTCATCATTTGGCATCATCTGGAATAAAAGAAACATTTTAAAAGAAAAAAAAGAAATTATCCGAAATGTAACTTACACACATTTTGTTTATTCAAATATAAGAACTTAAAACTCAAGTCCTGCGCCTGTGCTTTCGTAGCAACCTTTACTCCCAAAATGAACTCTTGGAGTAAATCAAAATGTAACACTTTCACATTTTCTGTTAGAAGTAATCCAAAGACATAAGGACTAGATCTGATACCATCGTGACTTTGAAAAAAAACAAACAAACAGGTTACTGTGGGGCTGGGCGATGTACCAGTATCACGATAAATACAGGTACAGGAATTTATATTGTTAATAATATCGCCTGAATAAAAAATACCGGAATATTTTGAACCAATATCGCCCAGCCCTAGGTTACTCTAAATCAATTCTAGCACAGCACAAAGCTGATGAGAGTTCCCCATACTTACCCTATGTATATTATAGGTCAGACGACCTCCACGACCGGGTCTCCATCCTTTCTTAACCAGTACATGTTTTCTTTTACGTATATATCTACCACCCACTACAAAATACACATACCAAAAAATCATAAAATACACAGAACAATAGCACACTGTTACAATTATTGTTCAAATTGAAGATAATCTTTCAATCTGATTAAACACAGATACTAAGCTGCATTTGTTTTGGAGCTACTTCTCCAGCACAATGATCTGACAACGTCCCTCTTTAAATTAACTTCTCTGTAAATATCTTCAGATCAAGTTATGAGTTAAGAGAAAAATATGATGCAAACTATACAGAGCTTGATCAGATTGGATACAGAATAGATTTCATGCAAAGGGAAAGTGCCATTCTGATGATAAGTGCGTGGAAGATATAAGCAAAATCAGTCAGAATTTAACAAGGGTGTGTGAGTCAGATAAATTCGAACCATTGATACAGCAGAATAAATTCTTCTGTCACTTAGGAGTAATAGTAAAAACAACCAGGGCTGTTGATTTTGGTATATTTTCTGTACATGTCTGTCAGAACAGCCAAAATGTTCCAGAATTACAATCCTCTGTTGATGGTATAGTTTTAGTTAAGGTCGTTAATATGTTCCATCAGGCCAAAAAATGTGAGTTACAGATGTAGTATACAAAATAACATGCTGGATCAAGGGAGAGAGGAAGAAAACTCACACCCCCTTGGTAGAACAACATAATGTATATCATTTTAACAGCATAAAATATCAAGCAATAGAGAGTTCGCACAAAAAAAAAAAACCACACTAATAGCGGTAAATGTAGGATTTCTAGGTATATTCCTGCTAAAAAGTAGTTGGTCCCAAAATGATAACAAATTTGAAAAAAAAAACTCAGAACATATCAAGAAATTAATAACAAACTTCTGCTTATGAAATGATTCAAGGGAGGGAAAAAATACATGCTAGTAGGAAAGTGGAAAGTTGGGGAAGGCCTTCATCGTGGCACACAGTCATTTTATATTTTGCTGCCTTCTATTTACTTTCATTTAATTGCAGACACACTAGATATTAGATTTTATTTTGCAAAGTGATAGAGATAGTTGAATTAGAGCTATATCAGTTAAACAAATCATCCCTTGAAGCAGAAGTTCTATTTCGTCAGGGTCAGCCATCTTTAAATTTTGAAAAATCTTTTTTAAAAATAAATTTTAAATTTTGTGCAACCCTGAAATGTATTGCTTGATATGTTAGCTATGATTTTGGTGTTTCAAAGGAAGGTACACCGAATATTCCAAACGAAATTCCACATCAAAATTGTCAAAATTATTTTAAATTTATAGCTTAAGTCAATGAAATTTTTGCCGCTTTTTTGATCATCAAGTGCGAGTTAAGCATTTCCATAAAAACAGGAATCACAGACAGTTGATATTCTAAACTAGATCTAGAGCAAAGTTACTAATTGAACTCAAGTTTTGATGTGGAATACACTGTTGGATGAATAAATTGGATGAATGAAATGAGATAGGACATACTCTTAGCAGGATATATACCCATTCTCTTGGAACAGCCTACATTGTACCGCTTTGCACATGGTCGGGAACAAAAGCGTTTGGAACAGCGGAACTTGAAAGCTAAATCAATTTTACCACAAAACTCACATTTCAGTGTTGGTGGTTCTCGATTTCCTACCAGAGCTGTAATTAAATTTAAACATGTAGTTAAGGCACTGCAGGTAAAATACAAAGAAAGAAAGAAACATGGTTTACAACTTAGGTTCCTTTCTACCAGCTGATCCTCGGACAAACGTATTGATCTGTCCAGGATTATCCATACACGTTTTCACAGCTTGGTCGACTGGATTCTTGAGGTAAGATGACTTATTCAAAGTCAAAAACTTTCACTTGCTGACCAAGATAGTAACCTGTGACCATCATTTGTTTGATGTGAACAAGCAAAGCAAGTGTGCTACAGATACTTGTACAATGTAAGATGCAGGCGAAATCTAGACACGACTGACTTCTTCTTTTTTCAACTGTATCAACAATCCTACAGCAGACACATCAACAACGTTAAAAAAGGATGTAGGCCAATAGAAATTTTGATTTGGGAAATTTGAAATCGAAGAAGAACTGACCATCATGAGCATCAAGTAATGGTGGTGGATTCTCATCAAATGATTCCGAGAAATCATCTTCTGATTCCTTATCATTACGACAAGGTTTAGGTGGGATAAATTCTGACATCTGATTCGTGCGTTGTACCTGTAATTAAAATTGATGCTGTCCATCTTTTTGGGGATCATATGAGATATCTTAAACCAAGCCTTATGAAATCAGATTAAAACAGACGAGCTATTGTATTTTCAAAATCTACATGCAAAATGTAGAAAATTTCAAAGGTGCTATAATTGTGGCAAAATCCAAGATGGAAACCAGGATCCTCTATGTATAAGTTACTCAAAAATAATAATAACAATTATTAACAAGAAATAATGCTTGAAAAATAGGGCTTGGGTTAGCAAATTAGACCTATTATTTTACATGCTGGGCTAACATGGCTGCCATTAAAAAAAAAAAACTACAGATACTCACTGGAAAGGGTTCATATCCTTCCTGTATAACAAATCCTTCAATAACATGAGTCAGTATGTGTGGTTTCACAATGGCTTTCTGTTTCTCTACCACAGGTTTGTCAGCTGATGGCAACACAACTTTATCGTCTGAAGCTGGCAACAGTTCTTTTTCCTTTTCAATGTCTGTCACCTCCATTATTGTATCTGTTTTATCCACTTCTATCAATTTTGCTTGTGGCATCACCATTTCTTTAACGGTTGTTGCAATCATCGGCACTTTTTTAGTCACTTCTACCTCCGAATCAGACTGGCTCTTGACTCCCAGTTGTCCATTGGTTGCCACATTAGCTGGTTTCGCTACAGCTGTAATCTGTGAAATCTTGACAGCTGCAGGTGAAGCTGATACTGCTGTTTTAACAGATGTTGATTTTGACCGATGTTTTGTTTTGGGTACAGAAGGTATGTTTAGTTGAGCTTGGTTTGTCTGTCCAGCTGCCTGCGTTGGCTGTATTTTGGCAGTTTTGGTAACAGAAGGCAATAATGTTTTACCAGGGGGCGCTGCAATCGTGCTCTTCACTGCTGGATTTTGTTTGACCTGTGGAGTCTGTTGGACATCAACGACTTTGTTAGCTTTCGTAATATTGGCAGTAGTAAAATTAGGCATATTTGCCGCCATCATATTTTGTGGTGTTTGAAACGGTCCCGCAGCACGAATATATAATGACTGTCCCGCTAATATTGCTTGAGATTGGCCGTGATTGGTTAATAACTGTTGGTGAGGACTCAAAGGGATGCCTTGCTGGAGATTTGCCATGGCTTGAAGAACTTGATTGGTTAACATGGGCTGCGATGTTATGATCTGTCCAGTATTGACTAATTGAGACTGGGTGTTCAAACGTAAAGGAGCTTGTGAACTAATAAGTTGATGTTGTCCAGGCTGGGCTACAGTTACTGTCTGACCTTTAGACTGAAATTTAACAAAAAAAATTTGGAGTAAAATAATATTCAATGAAGTACATACAAATCAACTGGATGGAATCTTTAAGATGGGTTTCCTTATTTTTAGTGTCAATTAAGCAAACTATTTGATTAATTGATGTTTCTAATGAATTATCATGTATTCTTAATCATATCATTATGTTCTTATTGCATATAACTTTTAACCAATCATTAAGATCCATGTATGTACAGTCTGGATAAACAAAAAAAAAAGGACTACATGTATTCAACCTTTTTTGATTGGTCAATCATTGGAATCCTGCTGGTAATTTTCTTCTGAATAGATTATGGACATGTGAGACAAACTGGTATTTTTACAAGTCATTAGAACACCTCTACTTTCTATTTATTTAAGTACCAGCATTCTAATTTTCATCGATGAAAATAAGGTAACCCATCTTTAAAGATAGTGGACCACAGCCATATACGCCCACCATGGCATGCGGATGGTAAATATTCAAGATTTTGGGGCAAGGGCAATAACTCTGCTTCTAACAGTCGAAAATAGCTCAAAAATCGAACTTGATCTTCGTTTTATGAATATGTATACATATGGTTCACAAATTCATAAATAATAGTGGAATAATAGTAAATTTGGTACCCTTCAACACCCTTCTCTCCAATGATACAATGGAACTAACCTGTGCCTGTTGTCCAACATTGAATGCTTGATTAGTTGACACTGGACTCTGAAGTACTGGTACACCTAAATTAAAATCCAACAATATAATTAAAGTTATAGTGAAATTAATAAAATGCTCCACTTAATCACAAGGGAGATAACTTGATGTATAGTAGCAAAAAGATATTTATGCAGATCCCGGATTTCTGGTCCAATACAAAAAAAAAGCAAGAGACGTCTATTTTGATTGCAGGTTTTAATTGGCACTATTCAGATGTCTGTGGTTCTTGTAATCCCACTGAATAGGAAATTCCACTAAAACTAGAAATACAAAAAAAGCCTGAAATACTTTTAAAGATTTTATGACGTTGTATATTGTTAAGCAAATTTATTATTACAAGAACCACAGACATCTGATGAAAAAAATGAAAGATGCAAATGAAATGACCACTTCATACGTAAAAGATAGAAGCCTCTTTACAATCCCTTATTTGAATTGGTAACTCGTAAACGATAACTGAAAATTTTACCAAAGTTTCCAAAGACTGTGAGTGGACTAACAGCCTGCGCTGGCATCATTGTTGGTTTACTGACAACCATTGTTTGTTGTTGTTGTGGTGATTTACCATTACCAGATTGTTTACTAACACCGTTGTTGGGAGTTGTGGCACTTGTTGTCACTACGTTCGTAACACCCTAGTAAATAAATGGAGTAGAGTCTAAGTTAAGCAATGACATGGAAATGAAGGAGTTTTAAGTCCTACTTTCTTGAATCTCATTGGGCAAACAATTGGGTTTTGACTACATAAAGACATGCAGGATGTCTGGGGGTGATATGGAAAAAGGAATAATGAAGACAGGATAACATAATGCAGTATGCAATGAAGGGAAATTTGTCAGGACATCAGCATCACCTTACTCTTTTTCAAATTTCAACTGTCAAGAAATCTTCATTATGGAGTTAGTTTATTGTCCCATATGAAACTAGACTTTTCTCCATGTCTGATACTACAGACTTGGCAAATAAAATCATTGAACTTGTTCAATAAACGCTCATAGAGTAAATCATAGAGTTCAAGCATTTTGGGCATAAAACCCATCCTCAGGTTAGCCTTAAATTAATACTGGAACTTTTGACTCTTAGGTCAGTGATCAAGGGTCTCACACTCAATACTCAGAACAGTTTTCAAGCAATACCTGATATTAAATCTTAATTCTTACCTGTGCCATGGACACTGAAGGGGGTGACATGATGTTTGGTGAAGTCGGACTGACTGATGGTGGACGTCCTTGAATAGCAGCTGCCATATTCAGCTGTTGATTCATTGCCATAGCAGCTGAAAAATATATCAAAGACAAATTTAACAAACTGAATAAATCTGTTTTGCACCTTGAATTGATAAAGAAAGTTCCACTATTCCGATGAGTTCATTGATTCTCAGAAAGCACTGACACAGGCATCAGAAGTTTTCTTACATTGAGGAGTATTGGAAAAAATGGCACCTAGCCAACGACAATCCATCTCACTACATGATGAGTACCAACTGTGCTATTCCACTGCCACAAATGAGATTGAGGTACATCATCCTATCCAAATGAATCAAAGCTTTAAACCATATCAGAGTCTTACCTTGAACAGCTGCATTCTGTAGGCTCATATATTGTTGATTGAAAGGGAAGTATGGAGATCCATGCATCTGCTGTGGTATGACCTGTACCTGAGGTATAGGTCCTGGAGATCTTATATTGTTAGCTGTGGCCACAATAGGGGTGGCTGTAGGAACCAGACCCTGTTGGGTCGAGCTAGTAGCTGGTCTTGGGTCTGTCATCTTTGGTTTTATTTATATCTCCATCCTAAACAATAATAATAGATGTTATGCAAACATTTTAAATATCCATGGGCACCATTTGCTTAGCGATATTCAACAAAAAATTGTGGTTGTGGGTTCTTATCATGGTCAGCATGTGACAGTCTGAATAACTCATCGTTCATGAATGATCCAGTCAGCACAGCTGTAATTGGATACACCAGGAAAGATCAATGCTAAGAGGTTTGGGTAGAAAAGATTGTTGGGACAAGAAAAATGGCTATTGTAGTCAAGGTATAAGTATGAAGATCTCAATAGCTTGACATTGTGAAGATGGTTGTTGTGGTGTCAATGTTTGCTTACTGTTTATGTTTGTAAATATTTCTGATATTGCCCTTGCTGGGACCCATATTGGCATTGGGCTGGCCTAATGTCCATTTTAACTGTATATTTGGAATTACACAGTTACAGGCCTATATTAAATGCTCAGCAGAAACAATTTTAAGCATGACTGATGCTGTGTCATCATGATAGAATTATAACGATCAAAATACATTGTTAACATTTCACAAGTGCAGAATGACTCTTATGTTTCGATTGCAAAATATCAATTTTCAACAAAAATGTTTCGATTTCATTTGCCGCTTTCGGGTCAAGATGGAAACACGTATCAGAATTTAAATACATGCATGGGATGGAATGGCCACATCCCTTTCTGATACGGTTATCAGAAGTGACTTAAACTTATCTAAACCATTAGAATTTTACTCACGAATGTATTTGTCTCGTTTATCACTTCATTTTGTCTGCCATATTGACCTGGTTATGACGTACCCACTACGTCACGGGCACCTGCCGCTTTTCATTGGTTGCAATTTTCAGAAATAACAAAGGATATTGTATAGTTTTAAAACTTGATAAGACAAATATATTAGATTTTCCAATGATTTAAGAATTGCTAAAATTAATTCTGCATGTATTACTATTACCATATGCGCCATTAATTTTGTAAGGCCAACTTTCGGTAAAATTACATTGGTATAGCAGGATATAACTTTAGACCACAGAGTGTAACAAATTTGATTGGCTGAGACAGAACGATGATCCAATCAAATTGCGTAATTTAAGTCCGAAAGTAAGAGAACTCATTCGAAACTGTGCGTTATTTTTCAGTTCAAAATTTGAGTAGGCTATAGTCCATGCAAAGTTTCCATCATTGTGCAATGCGTGGGGTTCTTCACCTTTGTAACCATTTTGAGACATTTGTCTTCATCGCACACAAAAAAAACAAATCCCTTTAAAACACAAGTCAAACAAAATTGTTTATTCTATTCTTCAAAAAATTTCAACAATACAACAATTAAAAAACAGTGGCTCAACTAACATAGGAACTGGTTAAACCAAGTCCCAAAGAGGAGTGGCCACAACCAACTTTACCCTTCAGTTGAGCCACTGTTAAACAAACAATTCCATAAGTTCAACTATGAAAGCAAAAATATTACATTTTCTAAAATAAGGTTTTGTTTCAATATTCTCTGTTTAAAAGGGATACAGTCTAGTAAATATTTGCTTTATCAGGTGATAGAGCTATCCATAACACTTCTGTAAGAATTAATTTCTGGTGCCTAGTTCTTTGATTCTGTATTATTTAGACAACTGTATCCCTTTTAACAATATCTCAACAACTGCCATATATGGAAGAGGTCATCAAATATGACCTTTGACCATTGACCTTTAATATTTTTGTCATTATGATCAATTTCTCATTACTAAAGTTTATTCATTTTTGACTACAACTACTACTAAAAATCTGTGTCTGAGATCAGGTAAAACTTTTGATGCCCTTAAAGGGATTGAAAAGAAGTTTTCTAAACTTTTTATGTGTATTGGGGAGACTGATAGCATCAATTTGCACCATTCCTATTTTCATTCTGTCATCTGTGGTTCTTGCAATTCCACTAACACGTTTTATGACGTCACTAGAGGGGAGCTACCGGAAGCTACTATTAATATCCATACAGTTCCTGTCTAGTGACGTCATAAAATGTGTTAGTGGAATTGCAAGAACCACAGATGTCAGAATGAAAATAGGAATGGTGCAAATTGAATCTGTGTGCCATGCAACACATAAAAAGTTTAGAAAATCTCTTTACAAAACAATCAAGAAACTCCCCAAAAAAGGGTAAAATAATAGAAGATAGTCTCCCTTTAAGTTTGATAGATGTTCGACCGATTCTTATCGCTTCCCTCTGATAAAGACAATATATGAGAAAACTGGTCGCAAATCCTAGAAAAATGGCTACCCTCCCAAAATATTTTACCACAAGAAGTGCATACAAAAAACATATCCACTTTCGAAATCATTGGCCGAGGTATAATGTCTATTTGAATAGTAACATTGTTATGAACGAATGTCAAATTCTGAATATCAATTCCGTACTCTTCCAGGAATTTTTGCATCAGATGATTGTCTATTTCCCGCTCATTTTTAAAAGATGATTTGCACATCTCGTCCCTTCGTCGTGCAATTTCCTGCATATCCTTCTGCGCCATTTTGGCATACTGATCTCCATTGCATACTTGACAGCGACTAAAAATATCTCGCTGAGTGACCTTGACATTGAAGTGTTTCAAAACTTCTGTCGCCTGCTCTTGAGCTCCCATTGAAAGAACATTGTAACATTTTTCTTCACCCACGTATGATTTTATTCTCTGAAACGGAGCCCCGCTGGATAGAATGATCCTCCCCTCAGTCGTTCCGATTTTAATCGCTTGGTCATGCTCCTCGTGATTTTCCATAATTTTGACATCCACACCGCAACTTCGTAAATACCGACCAGTACCTTGCAACATGGTGTCACAAACTACACGTAATTCATTAGGACTGATCACATAGTTAGAGTCAGTTTTCGAATGCAGCAAGGACGCCATTTTCTGTTCCCTTTCTTCTTTTTCTTTTTTCTTATCACGCAGTGTTAGACCTGCTGCCTTCGCTTTTTTTTTGTCTTGCTTTGATTTTTTGGAAAAGTTAACTTTCGTCTGAGGTTCCATTTCAATATTGATGTCATTCAGTTTGCAGTGGTTTTGCAAATGGTCGTAGAGTTCCAGTAAAACATAAGCATCAAGGCTGGCATAAATCAATTGCTCAACTCTTAAAGGCCTCCGCTCCCAATTTGACATTTGTTCGCCTTTATTTAGGGGTTTTCCAAAACACTGCCGCACAAGTTCACTTAATCCTTTCTCTTCCGACTTTGTAAAACTGGTTTTCGATCTCGCCGAATCCGGTTCACCATCAAAGTTTTCATCATTGCAAGTCTCCTTCGATTCATCCATCATCAATAAACCGGAATCCAAAACACGCTTTGAAAACACTGCCAAATCTATAAATCTTTGAACATTGACTAAAATATCTTTGAAATATGGAAAACCTTTTACCAACATATGCATGTCAGCATCGAACCCGTAACCTAATTTGATTGTATCAGGGTTGCAAAAAACCAATTCCATAAAACTGCAAATTTCTTCTTTGGACAAGATTGTGATCAGAGTTGTCATATCAAACAGAAATATATGTTCTTGAACAGCCAGTTGAATTAAAGCCACGCCAACTGTTTCAGCGCCCATGGATGGTTTCCATTCAGAGTCAATTCCTATCACTGTGTCTGGAATTGCCAGGCGCTCAGAGCAAATTTTCAGCAAGTGTTTATCATCTACGACAGTAATATTGTCTAGAGGTAGTGACAATTGATAATAAAAGACGGACATGTCCTTGTCGGATAAAATCTCGCTATCCCAGTCATCTCCACCAGTATCAGCGGAACTGCCGGCTACTGGGGTACCAGTATTTTGCTGCTGCTCAAATTTATCCCTCGCTTCTAAAACTGGTTGAGGTATACTTGAATCTGGAAGCTCAAAAGATTTTGCCCATTTCACCGCTTCTTTAAGATCATTATAACACATGAGCTGTTCTAGTAGCTGCTCTTTTAAGTAGACACTGTCCCCAACTGCTGATTGGACCATTTCTTCCCACGATCCAGACCCCATGGTTCCTTCGATATATCTTTTATACAGAAGATACTTTAATGCACCATAACCACGAGCGTTTGAAATATTTGGGCACAACGATGCTGGTATTTGGTACAGCTTCATTAATCTTACAGCAAGTTTACTTAAAGTTTTACGATTTAAGTTGGATCTTTTCACAACCTCGACTCCCGATTGACTAATGAACTCTTCAATATTACTTTCACGGTCACATAATCCATCCAACAATTCCACAACTTGTTTTTGTAATTCAGGTCTTCCAATGACATAATTCTCAAGCATGTTAACTTTGTCCTGTATCAGCAAGGGAATAAGAACTTCATTCACTTCAAAATGATCTTGTAAACCAAGTTTAGTTATTGAAACAGCAGCTTCTTTGAATTTCTGTTGTTGAATATAATAACGGATAAACGGGACAAAATATTCATTGCCATCATGGTTCAAGTCAAAAACTTTCACCGCCATATCGAAATAAGCGAAGTTACGTCCAGTTGTCACATTATACACCGAACTTCGAATTTCTTTCGTCAGGTATTTCTCTTTGTCGATTCTTTGTTTGTTTCTTGGCAGATTCAACCACTTATCAAGTTCTTTTAGAAGAAAAAATGATAGAGAGGTCGTTTTGAAAAACCTAAAATCTTTCGACTTTTCCACTAAAAATATTGTCAATGAAAAAGGGTTTGGAACTCTGTCTAGATGGTGACAGATTATATGAGACACAACCTTGTTAACTGCAAATCTGTCATTCTGTGTTTCGTCAAACCAAACAGCTTCAATTTCGGCCAAAATATTGTACTTTACATCTTCAGAAATATCTTCTACTTTCGATTTGTTGTCGAGTTTCCTCCTTACCCAGTTTGACGACTGCGAACCAGACGCCATCCTGACTGAAATGATTTGTTTTTCAGTTAATGACTCTTATTTTCGACACATTGCAATAAATCAAAGATTTGAAAAGCTTTAAAACGTGGACAACAAGGTAATAAAAACATCAAGTAGCAGTGTGGAGTTTACACCGGAAGGTGAAGAAATATTTATTCTTAAATGGAGTTATTCCCCTTTACCCATATTTTCGCAACGGTTCGGAGATCACTTCGGAAGATTTCGGAATATTCCGTAACTATGTGATTATTAAAGGGATATTGCACCCAAAATTCTTTTCTCCCTAAATCAAATCTTTAGGTGGTAGGAAGACGAGTAGGGGTCACAGAATGGTCAAGAGAGGCTCACGTGCAATTCTCTCCTTATCTAATGTAAAATGATGAGCAATTTGAATGTAGAATTGGCAATTTCCCAAAAGTCCTAGGAGGGAGGGGTGGGGGTTGGGAGGGGTCAGTGGAGAAGCCAGCTTGACGTTCGAGGGGGGCTGGAGCAAAATATCTTCTGAGGTTGCCCGAATTTCTACCTAGTTATGGGAGTCATGCCCGAAAAACTTGCATTCGAAGGGGCCTCCTCTGCCATCCCCAATGGGGCCACCAATGGGGGAAATGACCTTTAGATAATATTGACTCCGCCTGTCGTGATCGGCCCTCAAAAAAGTCCTAGCGGAACATTAAAAGAAATTATGGTCGATTTGCATGCCATCAATCTTGTTCATTATGCTCATTTGAAAAAAACAATTCATATTTCCCGTCCACCAGGGAGATCGTTTTCTGATATGGGACACGTTGAGGTATGAAAGAACATAAAACTAAGCGAACACATTTTTCCAAAGAGCTATAGGAACATTCTCTATTATAGATCTCGAATTATTATTCACAATTAACGCATGACACAGAATTCAACTCAAAAATAGTTCTACTGTCGGAAAAACTGTTAATTGAACCACTTAAACCTTGTAATTCGATAATTGATTATATCCGGGTGTAGGCGCATCGCACGGAGGAGAACATCCGATATCCAGATGATTGTTATCGTATTTAAACGCGTTCCCTATTGATAATAGACAAAGTCCGGTCAGACCATTTTCTGTTTAATGCCCCCGTCTTTCGGTGGATGAATTTAGTACGCAGGTCGTTTTAAAATATCTTCAGATCATAGCAAGACACTTTCAGTCAGCAAAGTGACCCACAGGACGTTTGCAGAAACAAAATTTGCTTGAGGTGGGATCTCCGATTTTTTTCTAACGTAAATCTGGAGTCAAATATTACCTCAGCAATCAAGATTTTCTAAATTTTGTATGTGTATCGGGGACACTGGTAGCATCAATTTGCACCATTCTGATATTCAATCAGACGTTTGTGGTTCCTGTAATTCAAGTAAAAAAGTGTTTAATGACTTCTCTACAATGAACTGCTATTTGATTGAAAGGCACCTCTGTTTTAATGCAGAGGTTATCAACATTTATTTTCTATAACCCGTTTCAGGATCGTGATCGATCGCATTACCCTTAATAATCCTTTCTATTCTGTGATTTTCTCTTGCGGTTTTTCCTTCAATCTTGTTCATGTCGGAGAATATAGCCTGACTGAATAGAAAGATTTGAATATTAATTGTCCAAGAAATTGTTGCTAGGCTTTAAAAATCCTCACTGCTCCCCAAAAATTTCAAAATTACCCAGAGTTGAAAACTCCAGATGTAATAGAATAGCAGGAATCACAGACGTCTGACTGATAATTGGAATGACGCAAATTGATGCTACCAGTGCCCCTGATGCCCTTAATTTTTTTTGTAGAAAACCTCTCTACAATCCCTTTAACATCGTTCAACAACTGATTGAATTCAATCTGATTAACACTGATTGGTGATAATTGGTCTAATTAGTCGGCACATTCGGTGCCTTGGAGTCACGGTTTGTTCGGAATTACTCGTATCTAACTGGTCAAAAACCAATGATTTACAGCAAATTTTTGTAGATTTTGAAACCGAAATTTTTATGAAGGATTGCTGTGCCATTTGTTTACAAGATTTTAAAAGATTACAGTTTGAAAATTTGTAGTTTGCGAGATTTTAAGCAAAATGTGCGATATGGTTGTTCAGCTGTGCGAAAGTCATTATCCATACAATTATCATGAAAGTCATGACTGAACTGCTTCTAAATTGCTCGGCTTGGGTCCTGAGTAGTCGTAGACTGGGTCATTCAGTTTAAAAATTCTTTTAGTAGTCATCATTGTCCAGAGGAAAGCAATTTTCCTTGCAAGATTGCTCCTGTGCTCCATATTGTTTTCGAGGTCAAAAGGTCATTCTCCAAATTGGTGATATCTTTCAATGGAAACAATTTTGCAAAGAGAAAGTAAGTGGAATGGCAATTTAATTTCTTGTTTTTGCACAGGATTAGCTGGGGAACCGAGAAGATCGGAAGCATATCGATGACAAACGAGAAACTGTCGTGTTCAAAGCAGGGTTGGCACCATGGCTGCTGTCTGCGACCAGACCGGATTTGCTGATTCAGGTAAAGCAATGTCTACAATTGTTGCCACTATTAACGAAAAACCGTGATTTATAGGCTAAACATTTGCGGTGGTGGTACCAGTGGGGGTACACGGGAACATGCT